ATAACCAAATACCAGGCTACCAGCACCATGTTAGAACAGCAGGATCTCCAAGTCTAAATATTAGCCCACAACATATTAGAGAAAATGGTGGCCAAAGCAACTTTTTACGAACATTGTGGGCCCTGAGGGTAGACTTCAGGCTGGCTAGACCCATTGACAACATGGACAACTGAGTAAATGTGAGACTTGGAACAAGAAACCAAGGAAATGGGATCAACCAACAAGGCATCCACCGAAACAGAACTGGTGGCATACAGGTAGCAGTGAAGATCCGCCACAGGATGCAACAAATTATGCAACCCTTGCCAAACCATCGAAGAGTCGATCACCTAAGTATCCCTCTGGAAGCCAGTCGACTCATTCTTCATTAGGAAAAAATGAGACGACCAAAAATGAACAAACCGTCTGCTAGGATCAAAAGAACAGAACCCATGCCCACTGAGAACAGCCTAAAGCTCCCCAATCTGATAGCCAGGGACAAGAGCCAACCGGAAAAACTGTCTTAAAAAATAACATGAGCTGAAGGGGAAACCGTCAACCAAGGTGAGGAGAAAAACGTCAAAACACAGTCAAGAGACTAGGATGGCTCATGAGGAGTATGAGCTGGCTGGAGATGGAGAAATGTATGAAACAACTTGTGGAATGGAACAGTGAAAGTGTTGATACCAAATGTAAGCAATAGGGCTCCACCAAAGCTGAATAATGTGAGGAGACAGTATTTGGGATAAGATGCTGATTGAGAAATAACCAGATAAAAAGGAGAGAACAGAGTGAACTGAAATTGAAGACAGGTGATGGAAACTGATAGTAGCAAAAGGCTCTACCTCATACTGCTCCAGCAAAGACAGAGGCAGGTGACAGACCATCAAACCCACCACCTGCACACCATAGAAATGGTGATAGAGAAGCATCTAAAAGTCCAGATGCATAGAGTAGAGGAGAAGATCAAACCAGTGAAGTATACCGCCAGGTCGATCTGCTGGAAGAGGGGGTGCCACAGAAAAGAGCGCTGGTTTGGACACCGGACTAGAAGCACCAGAAATCAAGGCTGGACTGGCCAACAAGGAACCAAAAGGATCACCCTCTCTGAGTGTGGCTTCAGACAAGCTAACACCCAAAGCAACAACTGAACTGGGAGAATGAGGTAAGTGCACCTCCATCGTGACCAGTCCAGTCAAAGGTCTTGCAGGTCAGGGAATAGAGCCATGTAGGAGGGAAGGTGGTGGTTTTGCGTTGACATGGAGATCCACCTTAGGGAAGCCTGAATGTCTCAAAAAGCCAACTGAAGGATGTGTTGTTAAAAGTCCACTCCATGGAGATGGGCTGAAAGTGAGACAACTCATCTGTGAGGAAACTGAACACATCCTGAATGTGAACTGCAAAGAGAACCAAGCCCTAAGAAGTCAGAGGCTGAGCCACATGAAGCATCTAGGTTGGGCAGGGAATTAAGGCATTCAGACCCTAGAGGTCGTGGATGTACTGGAGGTCCATCGAGTCCCATTTTGGGATCGGGAACAAACACTAAAAACCTGTGGGCCTCGTCCCTTTGATGGGACACCCACTGAAGAGACAAGGTCGGCTCAACAACACCCAAGGCCAACCAATCTGCAAGGGTCAGATGTAGTGCCAGAGAGGATTCCTGACCCATCCGACCCGACCCCAAAAATGATGAAAAGATTGACCAGCTCCACCAAAGACCCATAGAAATAACCTAAAAAGCTTGCAATTCATGGAAGCAGGAGTTGGCAACACAGGCCAGATACATCCCCCACGATGGTGTCAAAGGCGGTGAACCACAAAAGAGCTGGTATGAGACCCAAGTGGAACCAGACCTCCACGATGTGTGAGGATTGATAGCAGAGTAGGAACTCTCAACACAAAGTGCAATGACCTGGGAACCTGACCTACCTGAGGACCTACCTTAGCAAAGTCCCCACCCACCCAACCAGACTGCCTCTGAAACCACCTGAGACATGGCATTCTTGGGAAAGAGGAGTGAAAATGTGGAGGTGGCCACAAGGGGTTAGAGAGACTGCTGAATTTGAACAAAGGGCCAGCATGGCCTGCTGACATGTGAGGCTGGTAGAATAAAATGCTGCCACCACCACCACCTGAAGGAAAGGGACAAACATCATGGGCATGGCCACTAGGACCAAAGGCCTTGCAACCTGCAGTTCTGGTCCTGGTGGCCTTGCAGCCACTGAGCAGACCCCAATGATGCCACATCCTCATGGAGATGCTCAGTAAGCCCCTCCACAAGGACCGAGACATGCAAGTATGCAACCAGATGTTAACCCACCCAGTGGTCATCTGCAGTAAGAGTCCCAGAAAGTGAAGACAGCTGCATGTGGAGCTGCCACTTGCGCACATCCTCTTACAGGTCGGTGTTCAATCCCCCAACTGTCCAAGTGATTGAGCACCATTCCTGTTAGGAATTAAGGTATGTTGTAGGATTAAGTCTACCTAGGTTAGGTTCATAATAGTAAGAGCTGACGCTTATTTGTCTATAATGAATACAAGTACTGGCACCTATACCGGTGATGTCAAGCTGTTTATTTATTTATTTATTTTTAAATAAAGCCATGTGGACAAGACTCACATTTTCCTCCTAGTTCTACCTTACCATGCCCAGACGTAACAGCTCCTTTCCTCAATCACATCCTAAAGTCTTATCACTTTATCCCTTCCAAGTGCTATATAGTCATAATGGCTTAGTGCTTTCTTCAGATGTCTTCATACCTTACCTTGCCCACATCTTTGGGCAGTCAGGTCTGAAGTGGGGCAAATTGAACCCCATGCAGAAACACCTGAAAGACAGAGTTCACCTCCCTCCAGTCAAGCACATGGAAATGATAGAACCCTTGCCAACACCCCCAAGGAAAGAAGAGGGTTGTCAGCCAGTCATGATGAGCCCGAGTCACCTCACAACCAAAAATAGGAGATGGACCTGAACTCAAAAAAAGACAGGTGTCCATTACGGAAATGAGGTTTTGAACTACTTAGGAGGTAGCAAAGCAAATCTGTGCAAACCACTGAAGGCATAGCATAGGAGGATGGAAACCTCTGGAAAAAGGACAAATCTGTGTCACCGAATTGGACCCGGAAATGAGCCCAAGGGAAGAGCAGTTAAAAGCTCCATCTCATATATGGCAGCAGATAAGAAAAATGATCCCCTTGCATCATAAAAGAATAAAATAAAATAAAATAAATAAATGTTTATTCAGGGGGGCCAGGGGGCAAAACCCTCTGGAAAGGAAACCAATAACCAATCAGGGTCAAAAGTCACCCAAGGGCTTCTCCCCTCAACCCCAGGTGCCTGCCATTGAGGCCCTGGGGTAGAGCCGAAGTCCCGACCCAACACCTGAGACAGAAAGGTATTTTCCCAAGGAGAGGGCTTGGGAACAGGAGGTGATTGTGAAGGTGAAGGCCCTGAAACCCCGGCTGGTCTGGAATACTCAACTACCCCTGCTGCCGAAGGTAAAGGGACCACCCCTGGAGAAGGCCGAGCTAAGCCCCTGCCCAACTCTGAAACTCTCAGATGCTTTGAAGCCAGAATTGGGGCTAAAAGGGGGGAAAAAGACCAGAAGAGGGGCAAACTACACCCACAGGGAAAGGAAGAGGAGGTGCAGACAGAATCCAAGTGGAGATCACCAACAGCCCCAATTCTGGATTCCTAAGCACCACAAGGGGCCAACTCTGGGACTTCTAATCGAGCAACATGCCACAAACACTTCACCTAAGCAAACCTAGCCCATACAGCGGAAACTGCCTGGTAAGCCTCCGACTGGGAGGCGGAAATTATTACGGCAGAAACACAGTGAGAAGAAACCTGACAGAACTCGGTCATAAACATTACTGACCCAGGACTCAGGTTTGCAAAATCACTGACCCAACATGCAACATGGCTAGGGCAGAAAATATGATCATCTTCAAGTAGCAAGATTAGAGCCTGGCAAGATTTCAAACCTTGCCAGACTCATTGTTGGTAAATGGTCCATCAACTGATTGGTCTTAATATTCTTTGAGATCTACTCGGAAAAGGGTAGGAAAGCAGTAGTCTAATGAGGCATGTTGTTCCATCTTTCCTCTACCACCACCATCACCACCACCACCACTCGCATGCCATAACCATCTCATAAAATAACATAATTTCACACATTATCATGACCAGCACATGTCATCACCACATACAACAATATTTTGTCATATACAGTACTAAATTGTTGTGCCACATACTGTACTACCAACCCCACCCTTAGCCCATTACACCAGCCTGTATTCATTTTCCAGCCAATGTTCATTACACCAGAAGGTATTCATGACACTAGCCAGGTTGGTATACTTGGTATACCAACCTATACTCATTATATAATATATACTCATTAAATCAACCTATACTTGTACACCACTGTATTCAAGCAGTCTTCAACCCACTCTGTTTAAATGAAGTATGCATGAATGGAAATACTTAACTCACTCCCCTTATGCAATTGAACCATATCTATTTTATTTTACATTTTATCTTTTGCTGTCTTGCATTTATTCTTGTAACTTGCAAGTATGTATGCTTGCTGAGTTAGCTCATATTTTCTGTACTATATATGATTTTTAGTACAATTTATGACTGTTATTGGTTGATATTATTATTCTAAAGCATGTATGTGTATTACTTCAGTAACACATAAAAGTGTGGAGTGCCAATAACAAAGATTTTTAAAAAGGAAGTGTCTGTGTCATTCTAAAGGTTTGTATTGAATAAGATAAGCTGTTGTATCACAAATATTAAAAACTAAAGGCCTTCCTTTAAATTCTCATAATTATGTACAGTATGTGAAAATTTTTCTTCCCCATAGTACAATATTATTCTTATTTTATTTGTTTTTCCTTTCAAATTTTTATATATTATTATTATTAAAACTTTTTAGTTGCATCATATTGTGCTGCATATGAAAAAAAATTGTATAATATTCGCAATGTCTTCTTACTGTGGTATGAAACAGGTGCTGGTTATGGAGGTTCGCGAGATCAAACACTTGCCACCCAACCGAATTGTGTATTGCACAATGGAGGTGGAAGGTGGTGAGAAGCTGCAGACAGACCAGGCAGAGGCATCAAAACCAATGTGAGTACAAGTTGACTGTTCAGATATCATGATTAATTAAGGCATTAAACCTCTTTCCATGATAAAAGTTATGATGTGACGTACAGTATTTTAATTTTTGTATCAGTACTGGGTTTTGATAGTTCAAGACATATTGCAAGTTTTTCTGAGGGGAGCCCCTTCGGCTCCCCAGAGCTATCTGGGCAGATATGAATATATTAGACCTTGGCATCAGTGAAAGCAAATGGAGTTCTTAGGCCTACCGGGGACCATGAGCCAGACCCTGGCTCCCTCAGAGGCAAGACGAGCAATGGCCTATAGAAATCCCCATGTGGTTGGAAGCATTCTATGTCTGCCATAGATGAAAGGTAGGTGTCCCAAAACAAACCATACCTGGTTAAAATATTGCTACTGAAAATCAAACTACAGTATTGGAGAGAACTCCCCCAAATGAAAAACGAGCAAACGAGCATGACATCACAACCATCACCGCGCTGCTGTCTGTGCAGCTTCCCCTCCCTCCCTGGAAGGGAAAAGGGGGAGCCCCAGATCCCCACACTGGCTATCCCACACTCCTAGTTCTGGAGCTGATGTGAGACCTGGCTGCCATGCGACTCTGGCTCCAGACTCTGTCCAGTGTTGTGCCTTGTGGTGTGGTCCTGTCCTTGGTGGTGTGCAAGCCAGCAGTAATTTCACCAGTACTCGGGCTGCATGTGCCTAGGGCTATCTTCCCTAGGTGCCCTGTAAGTACTACCCTTGTGGCTTGGGGTTCCCTTCCACAAGTCGCTTGGGACCTAACTCCGCTGTGGTCTTTTGCTGCTCGGTGATTGCCTGCCCTTGGAGTCAGCTGGGGTGTTTCATGCATCCCTGTTTGCCTCTGGGTAGGAGGTAGCTCCATCACTGTTCCGGGCGCAAGGTACTGTGCAGCTTGTTTTCACCATAATACAGTGGCCGGCTTTGTTCCGCCTGGTGAAGTACTTATGCAGGATTTTTCTTTTATTTTTGTTTCTGCCTGGTGGAGGGTCTGCCCCATGGTGTTGTTGACCCTTTTTCATTCTGTTTCTTGGTGGTTCTCCGCTAAGTCCCCATGTGTGTACACGTCCCAGGGGTTCAGCAATTAGCAGTTCGTTTGGTAGTTTGGGGCGCCGGTTAGCAGTACCTTGTTTGGGCTTACCTTAGCAGAGCGTCTAAGAGCCCTGGAAAAAAACCACTGGAGCTCAGTGGTCCGATGGATGCATCCCCCGGATCCCATCTCGCCTCATGCGTGTTTGAAGGTTGCTCTGTCCCCTTGTCTCAGGGGTGACAGTCACCTGTTCTGCCTCCATCATGCTGCCTGTTGGGTTGGTGACACCTTCAACCCGGAGTCCTGTGAATGGTGTTGCTTGCTTGTACTCCAGTTCACCCAATCCACTGATCATGATATTCAGGTGCAAGCAGCTTTAATGTTGCATGCACATTTTAGGTTGCTGCAGTGCGCTAGATTGGTTGCTCACCTGGATGCCCCGAAACTGCCCCGTATTGGTTATAGGGACCCAGACTTGGTGGGGGTGTTAGTTGTCTTGACTTTGGTTTTCTCCGTGCCCCTTTGTCATTTCCCTGCTGTTCGTCCTATTTTTACCCCCTTCCCCTGCTTCCGGCTCCAAAGTGTCTCAGGGGTTTCAGAGTCGGGGCAGGGTTTAGTTGGTGGTGAGACTCTGGCAGTTTCGGGGGATGCCCTTTCCGGTGTGGCGACGTAGGCATTCGAACCTGTTCCTCCAGCTGGTACTTCTGGGTCTGATCAGTGGGCCCCCTTCATTCCAGCTTTTCCGGTGGACTCCTCCCCTCTCAAAAGGGGCTAACTTGTGGAACTTGGGCCCTATTTGACCCCGCTTGGATTTTGGTACCCTCTGAGAGGGTTATTGCAGAGGGTGGGGTTTTATTATCCCCCCTCTTTGTACGAGTTTGATATGTCATCAACTCCTCCCCAGGTTCGATTCCGGGGTTCCCTTGGGTACTTTGGTCCCTTTCTTCCAGAGGTTTTCGGCCTCCTGCATCCCACCTCACGAGGTGTGGGAAGCCCTTGTGGCTTACCTCCTGTGCAACCCGGATTATGCCTCGATAATGGATCGTGCCTCTCCCAGCTATATCTCCCAGCCTGGATTTGTCTTAGTGCAAGCCATCTCTCCTTCTTTCTGGTAAGTCCCGTTTTTGTTCTCTGTGGTTAGTTTTCTTTAGGAAGCCACTAGGGAAGCTCCCTCCAGAAACCCAGAATTGAATTTAAGAAATGCCTCCTTCTGGATTAGTCCTGGTGGCTCCCTGACTCCTTCCCTTCATATCAGGTTAATCAGTTTATCAGTGTGGCATTCATCAGCTCCAGAAGTGACAAGGAAGATAACTGCATGTGGAAACCAGGCTTCCTGGTAGTGGCATTTGGTAATTACCTAATTACCTAAGTGTCGACCTGAGGACCGTCGTGACCCCAGCGGGTGACCCCACACACACAGACCATGACTCTTCCTAACACAAAATAATACGAAATTATAGTTACAGGATGAGAGTTACGCTCGTGGTGTCCCGTCTTCCCAGCACTCTTTGTCATATAACGCTTTGAAAAAAATTATTGGGCTGGAGCTGACGACCGTCCAGCCAAAGATGGCAAACCCCACTCTGAGGCTGTGACTCTTCCTTTTTAAAATCCTTGCTGAACACAATCATGTATCACTATAGTGACTTAGTTTGAGCTTATCTTGAGATGATTCCAGGGCTTAGCGTCCCCGCGGCTCGGTCCTCAACCAGGCCTCCTTTTTGTTACACATTCCCAGGAAGCAGCCCGTAGCAGCTGTCTAACTCCCAGGTACCTATTTACTGCTAGAGGAACAGGGCCATCAGATTGAAAGAAACTCTGCCCATTTGTCTCCGCCTCCACCGGGGATCGAACACGGAACCTTAGGACAACGAATCCCGAGCGCTGTCCACTCAGCTGTCAGGATTTTAGAAAGGAAGATTGGAAAGAATTTTGGGCTTGAGCTGATGACCATCCGGCCACCAGCGGCAGACCAATGGTACTATGGGTCTTTTGCTGCTTGAGTTGTTTGGCATTTTTGAGGCATTGGTCTTTAGTATCCATCCAGTTTTGTGTAAAGCTTCACTGTCTTTCTGGATGCTTTCCTATTGTTGTGGAGAATTGTCACTTTCTCTTTGCACATCTGTGAAGGATCCAGGTTTCAACTCTAATCCCTGGTAGGCCAACCAGAACTCCAACATCTGATGTAACCCAATTGCATGGAACAATCTCAGTGAAATATCTTCAGGGAGCCTTGGGGTTCCTCCAGAAAGAGGCATTTCATTACATTCAATTCTGGGTTTTTACACATTAGTGTACATTGGCAAATAAAATCTGATGCATGTTATCAAGCTTAATGTTTTATTTAACTCGGCTCATTTTAAGTCTTACTTTACTAGTTTTCCATGGAATATGATCCATTAATTGGTTTACAATTAGATCTCCAGTTAATGCTGGATGAATAAAGACCAAATAGTTAAGGAGCAGTGCTCAATTGTTCCTCCCTGCTCAGGGCTCAGACACCAACCTGTCCTCTTAAAAAGAACGTCGCTTTTGGCCGTTTGCCCGTATGGCCGAATTTGGACGTAATTTGAAAATAAAAAAAAAATGAAAATAAATTTCGGATTTTTTTTTTCAACAACAGTAAGTTAAGGGTCTTCTTATAGGTTAGGTGGGCAGGAAATTCTCATAAAGTTTCAAAACGGTATGAAAAACGTGAATTGAAAGTCGTCTATTCTAACCTTACAGAGTCGGCCGGACGACTCAAACAGAAAACGGAACAGTACGTCACTTTTGTGAGTCGATTTCATTTCAAATTACGTCCAAATTTGGCCATAGCGCGCATACGAGCCAAAAGTGACGTTATTTTTAAGAGGACAGGTTGCAGACACAGGCCAATATCACTTGTGAAATACATTGAGTGAAAGTGCTGTTGACTACACTACAAGGTACTCTGGGGTCATTAATCTTTGACAGTGCCAGGGATGATAACTTTGTAACTAAGCTTTTTTGGTAAGAAATAACTGGTGCCACAAAAAACTAGTTAATAATTTTGTGAAGTAAACCGTAAGATAATGGATAAATCCTGCCACGGCAAAACTCAGGATAGTATTCATAATTTATAATTGTATTCATAAGAATGTGTACACAAAGAACATGAGGAATAATTCTAGTGACAGGAGTTACACATACAAATGAAGCCACTAATACAATGTATTACCACCTGATGATGGTGGGATGAATATCACTATAATTTGTATTTCTTGTGTTACTAGTTAGTGCTCTTAGGGTTGTTGAGGGTATCGCTCTATCCTGTCATAATGGGCTGGTTGGTCCCTCTGTGATGTCCTAAGTTAGACTTGCCATTCTTTCCCTTACTCACCATTTATCCCTGTTAAGATCACTTGCAAAGATGCTTAACAAGCTTGTAAAGGAAGTCACTAAGCCTAGTGTAGTGACATTGTGCTGGTGGTCCAATTGGCTTATTGCTCAGGAAGCATTTACTCAGACACTATTCTTAAAGCTTGCATATTATATTGTACTTGTATTAGTTTTGACAATGACTTAATTCACTAAACATTTTATGATGTGTTATATATACCAGATTATTTTTTCACTTTTGTTTATTAACATTTAAATAATCTAAATTCTTCTTCATCATCACTGTCACTTCAGGTGGGACACACAAGGTGACTTTACCACAACACATCCATTGCCTGCTGTTAAGATTAAGCTATACACAGAATCTGCTTCCATGCTCTCTCTTGATGATAAGGAGTTGGGCAAGGTTGTACTTCATCCCACAGCGCTTTCATCCAAGGTCAGTCACATGGGAAGGCTTCTGTTTTTTCAAATAATAATTATATACTGTAATTACAATAATAATAATAATAATAATAATAATAATAATAATAATAATAATAATAATAATAATAATAAAATGGATCATTCATATATGAGTCAAGCTTAATCTGTGTAAACACTTTATGCAAATAAAGGGACCTAGTCTATGGAACTCACTCCCTAATGAATTGAAAATCTGTCCAACTTTTGCCTCATTCAAAAACAAAAACAAAAAGTACCTAATATCATCTTCATAGTGTCCTACCTTGTGCTTTAAAATTGCACTGTATCTAGTGCTACCCAATCCCCCAATCTTTATGTACCTAATCCAAACAACTTTACCATTGTGATCATTGCTGTTTTTCTTATGTGCTATCAACATGCTGTATTGTGCCTATTAATCTTTGTTAAATTACAAATCAAGCTGTCAATGCAATCACCCAGAGCTACAGATGTGCTTTAATATACCTACTAATCTCTCTCATCTCTCTTGTTTTTCCTTGTAATGTACCTATTATCACCTTATAAATTTTGCTAGAATTCACCTACTTAAAATTATATGTTAGATTAAGGACCTGCCCGAAACGCTGCACGTACTAGTGACTTTACAAGAATGTTAACACCATGCTATGTATCCTCACAAACCCAATGTACCTTCTTGTATATATATTAGTAAATAAATAAATATATATAAATAAATAAATAAATATGATAGCCTTTCTAATTTATCATTAACAAGATTATTGAGTACACTACTTATCAAGTTTTCATATTTTGTTTACATTTTGCAAGAGTTTGAGAGATCAAGAACATAATGCAGATATATTCTGTTAATTCATGGTTTTACTAGCAAGACTTTAAAAAGGCTTACATTTGTGGAAATTATAAGGAATCATTCTTTTGAAGCACTGAGATATGTACAAAAATCATTAGTTTTTGTTCTGTTAATGAGGCATTAATTTTTTACTAATTTCAGTAATCAAAACTTTCAAAAACTTTAAAGTTTCAAAACTTTAAAAGATCATATGCAATCATTTTAAAAATCTTATGAAATAAAATCTAGGATATAATTTATCGTATCTGACAAAACAGAAAAAATTGTAAAGCAGAACAAAACATAAAAATTTGTATTACTTTGAAAAGGAAGTACCTTTGTGCTGACCTAGTAAAGGAACAAAACCAGTGGGAAAGGGGGGAAAAGCTGCTGTCTGTCAGCCTAATTACTGACAATGATTGGACAGTGAAAAATGCTATACAGTGGCACCTCGACATATGATTGCCCCTACTTACGATAATTTCGAGTTACGATGTAAATTTCATCGAAAAATGCGACTCGACATCCGATGGTGTCGTCGACTTACAATATTTGTTGGTACACGTTCGGGTCGACCGAGCGCGTGGTTCCCAGTCACGCGGCCAATCTGCCTTTGTTTACTACAGCTGCCCGCTTAGTGACAATCGCGCCTATAAGAAATTCCGCTTTTGTGGTGATTTTTTGCATTTTGAACATTAAAGTAATTATTATATATCACGCCATGAGTCCCAGGAAAGTCAGTGGTAAGGCTCAACATATGAAAACCCATGTAAGGATGACCATAGAGCAGAAACAAGAGTACAGAATGTCTCTTCCTCAACAATTAAGAAAATGTGTATAGCATGGGAAAAATTGCAAACCTTTGCTGAAACAACTCACCGAAATCAAGCTGCAGTAGGTTGCTGCCTTAACCTACTCAATGACACTGTGATGCATCATTACAGACAGATGTTAAAATGAAGGGAAAAACAAATGCCTCTTGACAAATTTGTAGTGAGACATCAAGCACTGAACCACAACCAGGTCCTAGTGGTATTCAGGCAAAACGTAGGCGAGAGAGTACCCTAGAGAAAACATCACTGCCTGATGTGATAATGGAAGGGGACTCCCCTTCCAAACAGTAACAACTCTCTTCCTCCCCCCTCATCACCATCTTCCATACGCCATCAAGAGCCCTCCATAAAGGTAAGAGACACTTTGGTACTGTATTGTAGTTAGAAAAAACATTGTATTCAGTATAAAATAAATTTGTATATTAATATTTTGGAGGGTGGGGAACGGATTAATTCAATTCCCTTTATTTCTTATGGGAAAAATCGCTTCGATTTAAGATATTTCAACTTACAATCCATCTCTGGGAACAGATTAGCATCGTAAGTCTTGGCCCCATTATACTTTATATAATATATTATACATATTTATATATTACTACTATATTACTACTATATATATTACTATATAATATATATTTATAAATATTACATTGAAAGTAAATTAAACATCACACTATCATTTAACATTTACACAACTTACTATACATATTTACACATTTAATACATAATTCTGTATTACACCTCAGCATCTGAGTGCTGTATCCCATCGTCTCAGTGCTATACCTTGACATCTGAACATAAGAACATAAGTATAAAGGTAACTGTAGAAGGCCTATTGGCCCATATGAGGCAGCTCCTATTTATAACCACCCAATTCCACTCATATATTTGTCCAGCCCACACTTGAAACAATCAAGGGACCTCACCTCCACCACGTTATGCAATAATTGGCTCCACAAATCAAAAACCCTATTACTGAACCAGTATTTAAAAAATAATAAAATTAATGTTTATTCAGGTAAGGTACATACATACAAGAGATTTCTACAAAAATTGATAGGTTTATAGATAGAGCTAGTACATACAATGCCTAAAGCCACTATTACGCAAAGTGTTTCGGGCAGGGAAAACATTAAAGACTAAAACTTAATACTAATTGAGTTTAAAGTATAAAATGTGTTGAGAACAAATAAAAATAAAAATAAGAAAGGGGGGAACATGGCTGAAAAAAGCAGCACAAATATAATTAGATCAACAAACAGCGGTGTTTAAAAAAAACAGACATTGTTTGACAATACAGGGGTAAGGTAGGTAGGTTACAGGGAATTTACTTGTATGTACTAGATACCTAGTGAAAAACATTGCACTAAGCATCTGAATGTTGTAACCTGGTATCCTAGTTTTGTACCCTGGTATTTAAATATTTTTCTAGGCATCTGGTTCTTCAATTCAACATCTAAGTTCTGTACTCCAGCATTTGAGTGTTGTGGACAGACTCTGAACAAGCACACAAAAAAATGTTAAATGCACATTTTAACTATAGAGTAAGTCATTTACACATCATCTATAAATGAGAACCTAAGAAAGTACTTTAACTCTGTACTGTTTATCTGCAGAATGAATATAACACATTTAAAACAAGTTGCCTTAAAGTCCTCACGGATGCCTTCCCAAGGGTACGCTACAAAATTTAGCTCCATTATAACACAAGGTTCATCTGCAGTTATATTGATTACTTCTGCCAGACATATGGATATTCAGCAACACCTACTCACCAGAGCCTAGGGGAGGTCATGTAAAATGCTGCCATACAAATCATCAGTGGAGCACTGCACTCAGCTATCTTGGGCCTCCAAAGAGAAACAACTCTCACAAGCTTAGCAACAAGAAGAAACATCATAAGCACCTGTCTCTCTGCATCACAGCATACCAAGTGCAATGCTCCAAGCAACACCCACCTTCTCCAACCCATTCTATGCTTTTTATAATAAGGGTCACATGTAACCTTATCACAGACCAAGCCAACTTCAAGGACAATGAAACCTAACCACCTTAACCTAACCTAACCTAACCAGAATATATAAAATTGATACGGAAGAATTCCTGAAATCTGGAACTTCAAGAACAAGACATCATAGATTTAAACTAATGAAACAAAGCTGCCAGAGAAATATAAGAAAATTCACTTTCGTAAACAGAGTGGTAGTTACTATCCATGTCGTAGCTCAGTCGATTAGGGCGCGTCTGGGATACTCTTGGATGTAGGTTCGAACCCTCGTCACGGCCCTTGTGGATTTGTTCATTTGATGCATCATGCTATTGTGATTTGTGTGTGTAATGAAGTAATGGCAAAGAGGTAGAACAGCTTATTGACAGAGCTCGGGTGCATGGGGGAATTGTGTAAAAACCTTGGTTTGTGTCTCGGAGAGACTGCAGGATCCGTGGTAGGTCAAGTTGATTTCCCGGCTGCAATTCATACCCATGTCGTAGCTCAGTCGATTAAGGCAGGTCTGGGATCCTCTCGGATGTAGGTTCGAACCCTCATCATGGTCCTTGTGGATTTGATCATTTGATGCATCAGGCTATTGTGATTTCTGTGTAATAATAATAATAATAATAATACTTTAACTACTGTGATGTGCCGTGTTTATTGGGACATTCCCCCTGTCCGCCGAAAATCAAGTGTTCCCAATTTTTTTAATCTTTTTAAAATAAATTCCCTTCACTAAACACGTACATGTAAAAAAAACTAATAAATTACCCTTACTTTGTCTGTGGGGACGTGGAGAGGGGGGGCGTGTTTGCTGTGCGCCCACGCGTGAAGCTCCCAGAGGCAATTGCGCGGGCCATTCAAGCACTGCGAGTTGCCACAAATATTTTTTCATTTATTCTATATATTTCCAATGCAAATTTATTTGTTTATTTTATCGTATATGATGCATATTTGTGTCCTTTACAATATGTATGCATTAGAATGTTCTTAATGTTCCATGGAACTGTGATACATGTGTCAGTAATGTGTCTACAATAAATGTTTATTGTCACAATATTACTTGTTCAAAATTCACTAAAATTACAATATGTACAGTTTCACACACTATTTACACAGTAACACACTGTATTACACACTCAGTAATTCAGAAGGGAGTGATAATCAACGAAACAGTTCATGGTACACAGCCCGATTTCGCTCTCAATGCACCAGGTGAAAACAGATGTTCGCTTCATGTTTGTTCTGTGTCATACAACTTTACCATTGTAATCAGTTGTTATCTTATATCATGTTATACACATAGTTTGCTACATTATATCTTGCAATAATCCTCAAATTATGCTAAAATGTACCTGTGGATAAACCTTAAATTTAATTTAATGTACCTACTTTTTTTCTGTCAAATTTCTTATACAATGTATTTTGTTATACTTTCATACAATGCATTTTTATACTTTCTTACAATATATTTTTATACTTTCTTACAATACCGGTTCTTACAATAGGGAGCCGGTCGGCCGAGCGGACAGCACGCGGGACTTGTGATCCTGTGGTCCTGGGTTCAATCCCAGGCGCCGGCGAGAAACAATGGGCAGAGTTTCTTTCACCCTATGCCCCTGTTACCTAGCAGTAAAATAGGTACCTGGGTGTTAGTCAGCTGTCACGGGCTGCTTTCTGGGGGTGGAGGCCTGGTCGAGGACCAGGCCGCGGGGACACTAAAAGCCCCGAAATCATCTCAAGATAACCTCAAGATAACCTCAAGATAAGAGATACCTGTAAATTATTTTTTTAATTTTGATAGAAATTACCTTCTTAAAATTATATGTTTGATTAAGGATCTCCCTAAAACGCTATGCGTGGTAGTGGCTTTACAAAAACGTAAAACTTCATTCCTCTGTACTCTCATAAACCCAGTGTTTCTTCTTGTATATAGATAAATAAATAAATAAATAGTGTGCTTGCAAATAACACACTCACATACACCCTTGGCTTTAGTACCTGTAGGTCGTATGTAGCCAAGCTTGTGAAGTGTAAGGTAGTCTTGAAAAAAATCACTTTGTAAGGTATTCTCTAAGAGATTCAGGTATTGAGGAAGAGATTCAGCCATTCTGGAAGAGATTCAGCTATTCTTCACAAGATTGATGGAAAACACCACCATGGAAGCTGCTAACACTGTTCATCTATGCTACTTTTATCAGATGCATCATCACTGAACCCAGAATATGATTCATCTATGTTCAGTACAACCTCGATTCAACGAATCTACGGCTAGTTCGCACACTATTCAGGCCAGATTTACTCACCAGGTTTGACAAACAATGGTTCGCCGAAGCAGGGAATGTTCGGATTTGCTTACGATGTCGAGACAGAGTTCACAGACTGGTGGAAAACTTTCCCATTCTATCACAGATTACAATTAATAATTTGCCCATATGACAAGTTCGATCACATGAGTGGACCACACAAGTGGTCTCCGTGGTGTAGTGGTAAGACACTCGCCTGGCGTTCCGCGAGCGCTATGTCATGGGTTCGTATCCTGGCCGGGGAGGATTTACTGGGCGCAATTCCTTAACTGTAGCCTCTGTTTAACGCAACAGTAAAATGTGTACTTGGATGAAAAAACGATTCTTCGCGGCAGGGAATCGTATTCCAGGGACCATAGGATTAAGGACTTGCCCGAAATGCTACGTGTACTAGTGGCTGTACAAGAATGTAACAACTCTTGTATATATCTCAAAAAAAAAAAAAAAAAAAAAAAAAAAAAAGTGGACCACACAAGTGGACCACATAACAAGTGAACCATAAGAAACAAACACCAGCCAGAATGGTCCACATAACAAGTAACGCATATTAACAAAACACCAGCCAGATTGGTCCACACAAGTGAACAACTGAGTTTCAATGATTTTCGTTCACTGATTTGTGGTACACGTATTTTTGTAAATTAATTTAAAGGCTGAAGCGTGAATAGCTAGCTAATGTGTTGAAATCTTCTTATATACATTTTCTGTGATGAAACAAGATGAATGAGGGTGGACAGATAAAGGAATACTGTACAGTAAGCCTCACTTTACAATGAGGTTTCACTCACTTTCGTCTGTATGGTCATAGTTAAGTGACTCACGATTTTGAACGTTTCAGATTAATAAATCATTTCTAAAACTGGTGTTTTAATAACTCTTTATTATTCTAATTAAACTAAACTAAATAAAGACAAAAATATACTGTAATATGATAGATATCTGCTATTTGAGAAATTATTCATGTTATTGGCGGCACAACTCCAGCACGAGTGGACGGGTCTAATCTGTGTGCACACAACACCATGCGTATTTTGTTCAATTTCGTTGCCACAGTTCAGTGACCTACAGCCTTGAAATAATAAAATTAATAGATCAGTTCTAAAATAAGTATTTTTTATAGCTCTTATTATTGTAATAATGTTGCTAAATTAAATATATAACCCCAAAAATATATAATTTTATGTAAATCCAATATTTGAAAGAAATCTATGTTACTGGATCTGGCATAAACACCAGCCTACTGTAGGGTTTATAGACCTGCAGCCTCTTGAGGCACAAACCAGGGTTTTACACAACTCCTCCCATGCACTCAAGCTATGTCAATAGGCCGTTCTCCCTCTTCACCCTTACTTCATTACAAACAGAAATCACAATTGTGTGATGCATCAAATGAACAAATCCACGAGGGCCGTGACGAGGATCATGTGCATCCAACCCTTGTGTTAGGTCCTTATTGTGCCTAGCTTCATCAATATCATGACCCTTATGTTCTTCAAACAATAAGGTCTGAATTTCGCTGACGGAGAGCGATCTTTCAACACCATGTCGGACAGGTGTTTGGGAACCAGAGGCGCATTCGCCACCCTTGGTTGCTCGTTCAGAACTGATCCTGCCAGCAGCCCTAGGTAGATCTGGGAATTTTTTTCAAGATGGCTGCCTCTCAATGAAGGTGCCAGGAGTCCATTACATACCCAACCTACCGTGCTCGCATTTCGACTATGTACAAAAAAAATAAAAAATACTTTTGATGGGTGGCACAGTAATGGGCAAACGGCATTTGTTGTTTGGCACAGTGCAGTGGTTAAAAGAAATTTAATTCTTGATTGCATATGATCTTTAAAAAATGTGTTTAATGTTGCAGGTGAAAGATTAGCATAGTAGTTAAAGACGCTTAATATTTTCAAGATATTTTTTCTATATTTAATCTGCATTGTATCTAAAGCAAATATTATTAATTTTTTACAGATACCTGAATGGTACAAGATGCAAGTACCAAAAAATTCTCCTGAAAATAACCTTAGAATTAAGATAGCAGTTAGAATGGATAAACCACAAAACCTCAAACATTGTGGGTAAGTAAAAAAAAGGCATATTTTTAGACCAGGTTAAATATTATTAATCCTTATGCTGCTCTGGGCCTTAACCCTTAAACTGTACAACACTTCATATGATGTGTTGGGTAACTGACTCGAAAGTGCGCACCAGTTTATTTGACGTTTTGGAGTACCGCGCAAGATTTAAATGGCCTGTGGCTACACGTGGTTCACATCAGCTTCCTCAGGGCTCTTGTAAACAGACACCATTTTTTTAAAATCCTGGACAACATTTCTGGGTGTGAAAGTCTCAGTACTGAGTGAGTCACCAAGGCTGGCGCACGGAGCATGAGCTCACAGTACTGCTGGTCAGCTTGTGACCACAGCATTGCCTAAAAATGTAAAATATATATGTAGCTGGTATTATTTAGCGATGATAGTATTACAGAAGACCTCTGACTGTAATAAAATCTCCAGGATTCTGATAATAGCAGGATTGTTGTGATAATTTGCACTATGGGGAGCCGGTCGGCCGAGTGGATAGCACACTGGATTTGTGATTCTGTGGTCCTGGGTTCAATCCCAGGCACCGGCGAGAAACAAAGGGCAGAGTTTCTTTCACCCTATGCCCCTGTTACCTAGCAGTAAAATAGGTACCTAGGTGTTAGTCAGCTGTCACGGGCTGCTTCCTGGGGGTGGAGGCCTGGTCGAGGACCGGGCCGCGGGGACACTAAAAAAAAAGCCCCGAAATCATCTCAAGATAACCTCAAGATGCTGTGTGAGAAGTAATGTTGAGGGTGGAAGGGATGCAGCATCATCTGCCGAATATGTGTGGCCACCTGTTACTGTCTGCACTCACAATACCAACTTTGTGGTTCACTATGGTGAACACAAATGTAGATACTTATATTTAACAATTATATATATAGTGTAATAACAGCAAAAGGAGTGTTGGGAGAAGCCATTTGGTGAGGGAGGTGGCATCATCTGCATGACTTGTCATGCTGTGTAAGGGTGGCCACTATGCTCTTTGGGCACTATACCCGTTTTGTTGAACAGTTATGGTGAACAAAACATGTAGATACTTATATATCATGTGTATATATAGTGTAATAACACCACAAACAGTATACTTGAAGAAGGAATGTTAGTGCATCTGGCCTTGAACCAGTGAGGGAGGGAGCATCAGCTGTTTGTAGCCACCTGTTACTGTCTGGACTCACCATACCAGCTTAGTGGTTTACTATGGTGAACAAAACATGCAGAAACTTACATATAAAATGTGTATATAGTGTAATAACAGCAACTCTATTTGTCTATTGTTTTGTGAACATATATAATTGAATCGCTAATATGATCACAATACCTTCGAGTATAGCGATGGTTCACCCATTTTAATATATAAATATATTACACTATTGAATAATATTACTGCAAAAAAGCTTAGAAAAATCAGAGACATAAATAATTAGGTAATAATATCTTTGTGGCAACTCCCGCCTGACAGCTGGAGCGGAGCTGGCCACCTCTGGTGCTTGCTTTGTCAATGCCTCTTTTTTGCCAGACTTCCCCGTCCTATTGCGGGCAAAATATGCCACCTACGATTTTATTATTTTTCCCATGATCAGGGAACACAAATGAAAACCTTTATAAGACAAAATATTTTTTTGAAATTTTTGTTGTTGTGCCTGTGGGTGTTGCAGGCCATATAGCCCAGAGCAGCCCAGGGGTTAATGCCTTCAACACCGCTAGGTGCAAGAAAAAAATTCAATTTTTTTTTTCGTCATATAAAAATGTTCATTTTCAACACTGTACAAGTGTTCATTTCCCCGAGCACAGGAAACATAATAAAAAATTGTAGGAGGCATATTTTGGCCACAATTGGGCGGGGAAGTCTGGCAAAAAACTAGCGTTGAATGTAATGAAACGCCATTTTTTGGGTGAGCCCTGGAGGCACCCTGGAGCTTATCGGGCTAATATATTTTATATTAGACCGGGACATTAGCTAAGGAGTTCAGACCTACCAGGAACCAGTGCCAGAACCTGGCCCCTTCAGAGAGGTTTCAGGGAGCAATGGCCCTGGAAAACCCCCTTGTGGTTGGGGTTTTCCTTCTCTGCCATCGACCGGGGTTAGGCACCCAGAAAGGTAGGCATAACAAAACAAACCCCACATGGCATTATATCATTTGCTACATTATATCTTGCAATAATCCTCAAATTATGTACCTGTGGATAACCCTTAAATTTACTTTAATGTACCAACTTTTTTTTTCTGCCAAATTTCTTATACAATGTATTTTTGTATACTTTCTTACAATGTATTTTTTATATTTTCTTACATTGTATTTTTATACTTTCCTACAATGTATTTTATACTTTCTTACAATGTACCTGTAAACATTTTCTAATTTTGCTAGAAATTACCTTCTTAAATTTATTTGTTAGGTTGAGGACCTCCCCAAAACGCTATGCGTGCTAGTGGCTTTACAAGATTGTATAACTTCAGTGCTCTGTGCTCTTATAAACCCAATGTACCTTCTTGTATATAAATAAATAAATAAATAAATAAATAAGTAAATAAATAAATAAATAAATAAATAAATAAATAAATAAATAAATAAATAAATAAATAAATAAATAAATAAATAAATAAAATAAATTGAGAGACATAGCTACACACACAGTCAGCTGGCGGCTGTCTCCCTCACTGATTCAGGGCCAGACGCACTAATATTTCTCCTCCAACAATACTGTTTGTGGTGTTATTACACTATATATACACACATTATATATATAAGTACTGTATCTACATGTTTTGTTCACCATAACTTTACAAATAAGCTAGTATGGTGCCCAAAGAGCATAATGGCCACCAGTACACAGCACTACATGTCATGCAGACGACACACCTATCTCACCAAAATGGTGGCTCCCAACATATTCCTAGTGCTGTTATTACATTCTACACACACACGTTATATATAAGTCTCTACATTTGTGTTCACCATAGCAAACCACTAAGCTGGTATGGTAAGTCCAGTCAATAAAAGGTGGCCACACAAAGTCAGAAGACGATGCCACCTCCCTCCCTCAGCATTACTCCTACCACCATAGAGCACAGCGCTAAATATCACCACAATCCTGCTCTTATCAGAATCCTGGTCATTTTTATCACAGTCAGGGGTCTTCTTTAATACTATCATCACTAATAATAGCATGTACATATATATTTTGACATTTTTAGGCGATGCTGTGGTCACAAGCTGAACAGCAGCGCTGTTAGCTCATGCTGCATGTGCCAGCCTTGGTTGCTCCCTCATTACTGAGGCTCTCACACCCAGTAATGTTACCCATGATTTTTTTCAAAGATGGAGTCTGTTTACTATCGATCATGACTGGACTATAGCTGCCCCTATTCCTTGCTGGGCATTTAAAATTGCGTGCTAGACCCTCAAATCGTATATGTACGATGTATGCCAGTCCATGACAGTTACTCCCATCGTATATGTATGTATTGCATGGTTTAAAGGTTAAAGATGTTTATTGTCCTGCATTCATGATCATGCTATATAACAAAGATGATGCACTGACATACATAGTTTAGTATATGTGATTTTCCCGATTGCCTGAGTGCGTATTTATCTCTATTTATGTCAGTGTCATTAGGAGTAAGATCTACAGTAGTTCTTCAGACTCTGCCTCTTAGTAATTTATACCTGAGTTTAAAACTTTTGTTGTTCTAATTCTGCAATATTTGCTCTAGCAACTATCGATGGAGGTGTCTTTCACTTCTTCTTTTAATGCTTTTTAATTTTTTGAATACCCTTCATTCTGTACAAGTTTTTTGTTGTTGTTAACTAAGACTAGGGTCCATAAGGGCTGTCAAATGATGTACTGTACCAAGTAAAACGGCAAGCAAGAGCTGTTATCCTATCTCAACTCATCTGAAGTCTGCTCCTACAGACTCATTTATTTTATGAGAATGTACTTTGAAGCTATCACATAGGGAACTATTATAAAGGAATGATCATATAAGGACCTGGTGACACTGCAAGCAAGAGCTGTAATCTTACCTCAGCTCAGTTGAAACCTACTCCTAGAGACCCATTTATTTCATGAGCCTATTATATGCATCAATAGGAATAAACTTTATTCATTACCAACATTAGGTAACAATTATATAAGGAACGTGTTTTTAATCATGTCTTAATAAGGTGTTTTTAATCTTGTCTGTCTTATTTGCATTTGCAACTCTTTCTCCTATTTCTACGTGTTCTATTTTTCTTAATTTGAAAAGGGTATCCTTGTCCTTGTTTATTCCCTCAATATTTTACCTGAATTTTACCTGAAGGCCACCGACACTAGTGGTTTGACGAGGATAGGAACCTGGCGGCTTCTCAAAGGCTCCCCCAATTTGCCTTGATCTTTTCGAGGTTGGACTTTAAAATGTAAATGGGTTTTTGCATATACGACTTCAGTGGGTAGGCAAGTTTATAACGCTGTGGGTGAAAAAGAATCTCATGTTTTCAGTCAATGATACAGATCTGTAATTGAGGGGGGTCTTCCCTGCTGCCATTTTTGTAGATTGAAACTATGATAGCCTTTTTCCACATATCTGCTACGACTCCTGTACATAGAGATGCCTGAAAAATCAGTTGAAGGGGAATGCTGAGCTCAGGTGCACATTTTCTCAGAACCCATGGTGAAACTCCATCTGGGCCAACTGCTTTGTTCTTTCTCAGCTCCTTGAGCATTTTTTAACTTCATCTCTAGACATCTCTATGTGCTGAATGTTGTTCTCTGGAATTCTTATTGTATTTGGTTTTCTGAAGATTTAATTTGTACGAACACACTTTGGAACTTTCATTTAAGATTTCACACATCTCATTTTTACCCGATCATTTCAACCCTATCAGAAATCTTTGATTTCTGATAGGGTTGAAATGAAAGGGTTTGATCAGAAATCTTTGATTTCTGATCAAAGATGTTTTGTCCTTTCTCACTTGGTTGTTTCAGGACCGTCATCTTATGCCAAATACTGTTGCCTTATATCGTGCGGTGCTGGCAGAGCTGCTTCAGCTTGCGTTTGGAGTGGATGTCACTTCTGCTCCATTCCGCAAGCTTTCTCAGACATTGTTTTACCTCCGGCCTGCTCATGCTCCGCCTGAGCCGTCCTGGTCGTTAGACCAGGTGCTCTCTTTTCTCTCGGTTTGTGGTAGCCCCCCTTTGGTTTAGGACTGTTTTTGTAAGGCTTTTTTCTTGTTGGCATTGGCCTCTGGGGATCAGGTTGGGGGAGCTTCATGCTCTCCCACGCAGTGGTTTCTGCTCTTTTGGTCTTGGGGGTTGTTTTGTTTGTTTGCAGCCATCTCCTTTTCTGGCAAAGAATGATTCTGCTGCATTCTGAAGGGGCCCTTGGGTTGTTGATGCTTGGTTGGTTTGGCCCAGGGTACATCATGTAGTGTGTCCAGTTCCAGCTCTTCACTGTTATCTGCATGCTATGGCCACAGTGGCAGGGGACGCACTTTGGGTGGGCCTTGATTCCCTTCTTCCCTTTTCTAGGGCGAGGGTCTTCCAGGTCATCAGCAGGATTATTCAGTCCGGCCAGCTTGTGGCTTATCCCCGTGCCCACAACATTCGTAAGTTTGCGTCTTTGGCTGCTGTTTTTGGTAATATGTCTTGGGCTGGCATTCGGGCATGGGGCTTTTGGAGGTTGAACAGAGTCCTGGCTGCACGGTACCTTGTTAATGTTCCTGGCCCTTCTCGGGTGTGTGTAGCCTTGGGTCTCAGGTTGCAGCCAGTTGTCTCGACTTCGAGTTGAGTAGCGATTGGTGGCCGCCTCCCTGGTAAGTCCCTCTTTTCCTTTATCTTTGGTTAGGTAGCTCCGGAGAGCCGAAGGGGCTCTCCACAGATAACCAGCATAGAATGTAATGAATTGCCATTTTCTGGGTAAGATCCAAATGCTTCCCAGCATCCCTCCCTCCCTCGTCGTTTTTTGTGTTTTTGAAATTCGGCTCTGAACTGGGGTTGGGTTGCAGCGCGGGAGGTCTAGGACACCCTCCCCCTTTTTCCCTCCCAGGGAGGGGGGAGTTGTACAGACAGAGGCGTGGCGGCTATGGTGACATCAGGCTTGATTACTTGTTTTCGATTGGGGAGTTCTGCTTGCTAATTTGGCTTTCGGTTTGCAATTTTTAACCAACTGTACTCTGTTTTGGAATTCCTACCTTTCTGGGGTGCCTGACCTGGTAGATGGCAGACATAGACTGCTTCCAGTTACATGGGGGGGTGTCTGTAGGCATTTGCTTTTCGTGCCTTTCTTGAGGGGGGGCCAGGTTCTGGCACTTCTCCTCGGTAGGCTTAGAAATCCATCAACTGACTGTTACCATGGTCTAATATATACACATCAGCCCAGTATAGCTCAAGGGAGCTGAAGGGGCTCTCCACAGAAACACTATAAATATCCAGTGCATTTAGGGGTTAACTGAAAATATTTATACCTCTCTTCTTAGTTTTCTGTTCAATTATTTTTGTAGTTAGTGAATGTTTCATCTTTAACTCTTGCATTATGCAAGGATTACATAGGCATTATATGTATACACACACAGACAAATAGTATTCAAAACAAGGTTTTTGTCTGCTTATATTGTTAAAAGGCATGCTCTAAGCATAAGAAAAATGTCCCAAAAATCGTCATTTTTCAAGATGGCAGTTGTTTGCTGGAGGCCTCAAAGGCCAGTTGGGCATACCATGTTGACCAAACCACACACTAGAAAGTGAAGGGACGACGACATTTCGGTCCATCCTAGACCATTCTCAAATCACAATCGACTTGAGAATGGTCCAGGACAGACCGAAACATCGTCGTCCTTTCACTTTCTAGTGTGTGGTTTGGTCAACATATTTCAACCACGTTATTGTGACTCCTCGTCTGCATACTGTATACCAGTGGGAGTTTCACATATTGGAATGTACCTAAACCATCTTAGTGTGTTATGTGCCCTTAGATCAAACATCTTAAGATGGTATGCACATTTCAAGTGTTAAGCTAGAACAAACTCATTTCCCAGCAGTGTAGAGGACTCTCACTTCACATGCCTCACAAGTTATATCGGTCAAGGTTTGAGCTATTGTATAGTACTGTATTATGATTTTCTTTTAACAAGAAAAATAATCATTCTTGAGATCAATGCTAAACTTAAAAACTGCTCCAGTTCCTGCATTGTAAGTAGACAATCTTCTCATGTTGTGCCCAAGCCCAGTAGAAAAAGTGAAACCAATTTTGAGAAATGTGTATATATTAGTAAATAATAATATTGTTTTTTCAGTTATCTGTATGCTCTAGGAAAAAGTTGTTGGAAGAAATGGAAAAAACGGTATTTTTGTCTAGTTCAAGTTTCACAGTACACATTTGCTATGTGTAGCTATAGAGAGAAGAAGAGTGAACCTACGGAGATGATGCAACTAGATGGCTACACTGTTGACTATATTGAACCTGTATCAGGTAATGTAATATGTTACTAAATTTTAAGTGATTCTGTGGATTTACTACTTAAGTAATTGCTGTTTTTAATATATGAGTTGATTTTATAAAAGTCATTTATAAACATTAAAAAAAAATAGTCATATAACATGATTAGTTTTAAATGTTTCCCATTATCAGAAACAGGAAGCCTGTTCAACATATCGAGGTTTTGTCTAGCCAACAACTGACCATTTCCCAGGATACAACACAACACAGCTAATAAATAATTATTACTATTATTATTAGGTAAAAGTACATACATAAGATAAAAGAACAGTGGAGAACTAGAACTAGAAAAAGAACTAGGTATGAAAAGTACAATGCTTAAAATCACTAATACACAGCATTTTGGGAATAATGAGCGGAAAAAAATTTGGTGAACAATATACAAGCTTAACCCTAAATGGCGCCTGACTATTTAGCATGTGTCACCCACAGGTGCATACCAAAAAAAAAATATATATATTTTTTCTTCTAAATCTGTTAATTTGTGTTCACTGATCATGGGAAAAATAATAAAAAAAAAATCGTAAGTGGCATATATTGCCCGCTATAGGGTGGGGAAGTTTAGCAAAAAATAGGCGCTGACTCAGCATGCGTCCCAGATGGTCTGTTGCTCACCAGCTGTCAGGCCGGAGTAGAGATAATATTTCTCCTACAACAATACTGTTTGTGGTGTTATTACGCTATATATACACATTATATATAAGTATCTACCTGTTTTATTCACCATACTTGTCAAGTAAACTGGTATGGTACCCAAAGACCATAGTGGTCACCAGTAAACAACATGATAAGTCGTGCAGACGATGCACCTCCCTCACCAAAATGGCGGCTCCCAACCTACACCTTTTGGTGTTATTACACTCTATACACACGTTATATATAAGTATCTACATTTGTGTTCACCATAGCGAACCACTAAGCTGGTATGGTGAGTGCAGTCAATAAAAGGTGGCCACACAGAGTCAGAAGACAACGCCACCACCCTCCCTCTCACAGCATTACTCCTCCCTCCATGGAACACAGCACTAAATATCACCACAATCTTGCTATTATCAGAACCCTGGTCAGTTTTATCACAGTCAAGGCTCTTCTGTAATAATATCATCGTAAAATAATAGTAAGAACATGTATATTATGACATTTTTAGGCGATGCTGTGGTCACAAGCTGAACAGCAGTGCTGTGAGCTCGTGCTGCGTGCGTCAGGCTTGGTAGCTCACTCAATACTGAGGCCCCTCACACCCGGGAATTTGACCCACGATTTTTTTTAAATGGCGTCTGTTTACAAGAGCTCTGATGAAGGTGTGGTGAACCCCGTGTATCCGCGGGCCGTTTAAATCTTGTGTGGTACTCCAAAATATCATATGATGCCAAGCGCACATTACTGCAAGTCACTCAACGCATCATATGATGTCTTGCGCAACTAAAGGGTTAATAGGGTAACTGTTAAAACTAAATGAGATGAAGAACATTTATGACATAAGAGGAGAATTAAAAAAATTATATGATAACTGGAACTGCAAATTTTGCAACAGAACAACAGTAAGTAATTTTCTCAGTAAGCAATAATAAATTGAAGGTGAGAATAAACAGACTGTGTACAGTTTTATATAACAATTTTAAGTGGCAGTTATTAGTAACAGTACACATTCAATAATTAATGTTTAACCCTCGGAATGTGGCTATTGAAATATGGCCATACCTGCCTATTCACAAAAAATGAAAACATTCCAAGAAGGATATTTTCTTGATAGATTTGTTAATTTGTATCCAAATGTAAGAAAAATATAAAAAAATTTAAATATGTAAGTTTTTACTGGTTGGACGAGGTGTGAAAGGTGTTATGAAATTAATATCACGAAGAAATTAACACATGATGAACAATGTGAAAATGTCAGACCACAAAGGAAGAAAGGAAGGATTAAGACAGGAATTTCCTTAAGTACTTTCATATTTAATAATACATCTTCAGACGGATCCTTTATATATATATATATATATATATATATATATATATATATATATATATATATATATATATATATATATATATATATATATATATATATATATATATATATATATATATATATATATATATATATATATATATATATATATATATATATATATATATATATATATATATATATATATATATATATATATATATATATATATATATATATATATATATATATATATATATATATATATATATATATATATATATATATATATATATATATATATATATATATATATATATATATATATATATATATATATATATATATATAAATAAATAAATAAATAAAAGCTGGTAGCTCTAGGGTAGGGTCTCTTGTTGTTTCAATTAGCCTAGAACCCAGTTCCTTAAAAAAAACTAGTGGCACTCTTACCCCAGGCGCCGAGTGTTTTGGTAGCAATGGGGACAAAATTGCAGTGGTAATCCAGTTCTCTGTACTTATGGGATTTGGCTGATTCCCTGTGAGTGGCAGCGCCACCCAGTTGTGCAACACTGAAGTCAATGTAGGTGTTAGCCAGGGTTGATACGCATGTGTGGTCCCATACCACGTGTCATACTACCCATACATACTGTAGTCCCATACTACCCCATTTCTCGCTAGAGAAAGGAGTAGTGAAGAATAAGGAGAGAGGGGACATGTTTCTGAAAATTGTATACACCAACGTAGATGGAGTGAGATCAAAGATACTGGAGTTAAGTGATGTAATACAGCTGCAGATGCCAGACATTGTTGCACTCACGGAGACAAAACTTGAAAATTATATTTTAAACGAGGGCATATTCCCAAGGGGCTACTCAGTTTGGAGACAAGATAGAGAAATTAGGAAAGGTGGTGGCATTGCTGTGCTGGTTAAAGAATACCTAAAGGTAAGCAAAATAATGATTGCCAATTCAGGAGAAGTTGACATAATAGCACTAGAGATCTGCAATCAGGATGATAAACTAATGATCATAAATGCATATAGTCCACTGCCAAGCAACACATGGACAAAGGAGGAGCTGGATAATAAACAAGAGGGTCTTATAACAATAATGAGAGAGATTATAGCGAGAGCGGATAACAATAGATCATGACTGTTGGTAGTCGGCGACTTCAACTTGAAATCTATTGACTGGCAAGCATATGAAGCTAGAACAGAGGGCTTTTGCACCTGTAGATTTGTAGACCTCATCCTGGAAACATTCTTGTATTAACATGTTAAACAAGCTATGAGGATGAGGGAAGGGGAAGTTCCCTCCATGCTAGATTTGATATTTACCAGGAAAGAGGAAGAGATATTTGACATTCAGTACCTTCCTCCCTTGGGTAAAAGTGACCATGTCTTTTTGGGAATAAAGTATGCAATGCATTATAATCTGGAAGAAAATAAACAGATTACATAATTAAAATTAACAGAAAATAAAAGAGGTTGAAACAGTTGAAAAACCTGACTTCAGGAGAAGACATTATGGGGACCTTAGAAATTTTTGTAATGAGTATAATTGGACAGACTTGTTGCTAGGCAAGGAAGTAAATGAGATGTATGTCAAGTGTCGTGAAATATATGATAAAGGCACAAAAAAATTTATACCAAAGCAGAGATGCAGAACCAGGAAACAGGATTAGTTTGTTCAACAGAAATTGCGAGAGGGCCAGAGACCAAAAGACACAAAAATGGAATCAATATAGGAAGAGGCCAAATCTCCAAACATACCAGCCATACAAAGATGCAAGAAACAACTACATGACAGTAAGGAGAGAGGCAGAGAGGAACTTTGAGAACAGTATAACAGACAAATGTAAATCAGATCCAGGCCTTTTCTACAAATTCATTAAAAGTAAGCTGCAGGTAAAGGATAATATTCAGAGGTTGAAAATGGGAGACAGATTCACAGAAAATGAAATGTGTGAAACCTTAAACAAAAAGTGCCAAGGTGTGTTTGTACAAAATGAACTCTTAAGAGAAGCAGACAAAATTAGAATTCCAGAGAACAACATAGAGCACATAGAGGTGTCTAGAGACGAAGTGATAAAAATGCTCAAGAAGTTAAGAAGAACAAAATAGTTGGCCCAGATGGAGTTTCACCATGGGTTCTGAGAGAATGTGCACCTGAGCTTAGCATTGATACATCATGTTAATGTGATTTCTTTGTGCATTATTTTATATAAATACATTCATTAGATACTGTATAATTTTAGTGTCAGGTGTTTGTTTTCTGTATTTTAAGTCAGATATCAAGCATTTTTATAAAGTAACTTCTTTCAAATTAACAGTATATGAAACCATTGTAAAATAGTGATAATACAGCATTGCTAATACTTTAACTTATTTTCAGCTCAACTTATGGTTGGAATGGGTAAGTAATGTGGTTTGCAAAGACATAGTTATTATAAATTAGAATGACAGGCTTTATAAATAAATGTAGTAGACTGACAAATTAACTTAAACATTCATGAAAAGTAACATATTCAAGTTTGAGGTGAACTGGCGTGAATCTCCAATCAGACAAAAATTTAAAAAATATCAAGATCTTGTTGATGCCCTTCATTTATGGTTCATTCCCAGATCTGTGTTCACATTATATCCACATCTGCTGCTTTAGTACCCTTACATATCCTATACTATTTATTGATGACTTAAATGATCAACTTGTTTTCTTATGTTGTTCTCTGCATTGTGCCTGCATATTTTCATGCCATCAATATTGTATGGTTTAGATTTTTTTAGTGTTACTTCTATCTTCTACACAATCTAATCTATTTGCATCATTTTAAGCATGTGAGAGCATACCAGCACAATTTATATTTCAACGACTACAAACTTACTTATTATATTTGATTTTATTGAAATTCTGTTCTTAGTCAGTATGGGAAGAGCAAAGCTGTTTAAATTTTTGGGAGTAGAAACCCTGCATTTTATTGGTAGTACTTATATTTTCTGCAGATAATAGTAATAGCATTAATATCATTATGCATTTTATTTTCACAAATCCTTCTTGAACAGTTTAAAATTGAAAAATAATTTTGAAAGGCTGCTACTCCACACAATACAAAACAGTTTGCTCTCTGGTGGCACAAGTGGCATGCAGATCCCAGCATGGTGTATTCAGCTGTTGATGGTGCAAAAAAAACTTTACATGATGCAGAAGAAACTGTGGCACTCGACTCATCCTTAATATTACAGATGAAATTTTTAGTTATCAACACAGAAGAAAGTTATGTTTTTATTTGAAAATTCGAATTGGGGTACAAATTTTGCCTCGCCTTGCGACTTTGTTGATACATGTGTGGGTCGACTGAGCGTGTAGTTCCTGGTGGCATGAGCGACTGCCCTTCAGTTTACCAGTGCCTCCTGCTTAGTGGCAATTGCACTTGAATTCTTTGTAAAGAATTTCATTATTTCTGTGGGGAGCCCCATCAGCTCCCAGGAGCTATTAGGGCTGATGTACACTAAATTAGTTGGGGGCTTCAGTCAATGAAGTCCTGCCTACTGGGGACCAGAGCCGGAAGCTGGGCCCCTCAGAGGCACTTAATCTGTGTAAACACTCTATTTGCATAGTGTTTACACAGAATAAGATTGACTCGGGGGATATCAAAGATATATTTATTTCTGGTGTGGTGATTATAGATTGTTACATCTGTCCAGGAAGAGTTTCAGAACAGGGTTTCCATTTAAGAACAGTGTTTTGTAAATGTAAATGGCACAAGAGAATGTGTGTGGAGTGAGTTTATGTTTAGCATGTTTAGGGATTTAAATAGGGGAGGCTGAGTGTTGTCTGAAAGCAGAGTTTGCTTTATTTTTTATTTTTATTTTTATTTTCATATTTATTTATTTTATTTATTTATTTATATATTACAAGAGTTCTTACATTCTTATACAGTCACTAGCCTGCATAGCATTTCAGGCAGGTCCTTAACACTTTCGTTCCTTAGAGACGAAGATGACATCCACAAATAACTCTGTGAACGTTCCTTAGGGACGTAGGTGACGTCCAAAATTAAAATATTTGTTAAAATTCATGTTTTTATCTGATCTTTATGGGACTGGTTTTAAAATGTGCACCAATGTCTTCCCATTCTATTGCAAACTGAGGTCAAAATTGAGGTGAAAAACTTGAAACGAGTAAATACATTTGTGAGCAGGTGTTGCAGGTGTGCCAATGGGTGCTCGCTCATGGGTAATGTTTGGCCAACTTTTGGCTTTGCTGCGGGTGGGGCACGCCTGGTTTTTTAACCTTATATGCATATATCATTGTAGGGAATTCTACTGCGAGCAAATTGATACCAAAATGAAAGACATAACATGAGAATTGAGGTGAAAAAAGTGAAGAGAGTGTACACATTTTATTGCTCTTGCATGCTCACGGTTAATGCTCAGCTGATTTCTGGGTTTTGTGCGGGTGGCATGCTGGGCTTTTGAACTATATGCATATACTCCTGTAGGACATTCTATTGTGAACATTTTGATACCAAAATGAACACCATACAACAAAAATTGAGGTGATAAAACTGAAGAGTATACACATTTCAGTGTTGTCGCACTCTCGCGGGAAACACCTTGGCCACCTTCGGGTAGTCTGGCGTGCGCACGCTCAGAACACGAAAGTGTTAACAACCTTACTTTCCCATCCTCATCACTTTGTATTTTTCTAACATTCCTTAGTACTGTACTTCTTCCATCTGTTTGGCACTGTTTAGGATGCCAAACAAAGATCGACCTTAAAGGTCGATCGTTTCCTTTTACGTACCTGCCAATTCTCCTGTAGTCGCAGTCATTCTCTATAGTAGTAAGACCTTCCACGAGGCCAACAATTTTATCTAATACTTTCGCTTCTTCTACAGCTTTTTCTGACCTAGATGTTATTTCCTTTTTTTTGCAACCAAAAATTATCAGGGACTTGCTTTGATCAACTGTGTTTTGCACCAATTTAGGATTTGATTCCAGTTCCTTTCTGACTTCCAGCCTAATGTTTGTTTTATCCTGGTTGCTGCAGTGTTTGGCTTCCCTTTACTGCTTCTTCTATTCTTTCCTTTTCCTTGGCCACTTGTGCATAGGTGAGCTGCATATCCTACTTGCACTATTCTATTCCCTGTGTAACTTCCTCCATCTGTACTGACAAAAGCTGTTTTTCCTGTTGAATTTCCTTACCTAACCTATTGTAGTCATTTATTTTTAAATTTGCTTTAACTTCTTCCAAAGCTATTTTTTAGAGTTTATTTTCCTCTTCCATGGCTTTGCAATTTGTTTCCAATTGATTCTAATCCTTGCATAAGTCTTTCACTAACCCCTCAAGACCTAATATTTGCTATTTAAGTGGTCATTACTTTCTTTCAATTTGCTGATTATTTCTACATGATAGTTCACTATAATACCTAATTTTGCCAACTTGTTGTGTAAATTGCTTATATCAATGCCTTTTTCATTGAAACCCCCAAAATCTAGCTCTGTTTTGTTTTCCACTTGCCGGTGGCCATCTTGAATGTCGTTGTGGGCACTGTAAACACTGGGGCAACTTTTTCTCAACCAATTTGTTCACTTCACTTGGCACATTCGTGTTATCTCACCTATTTTTCCAAAGCACTAGACCTTTATGTTCCTTGGGACACCTTTCACTATCATCAACCTGTTCTACAATACTTAAGAATTTTGAAATATTGTGGAGCTCCTCTGATGCAGGTGTTGGCACAAGGGGTATCACCTTCACCAAAAAAGTGATGTGTGTGTGCTCATGAGTGTGAAAGTGATGGACCTTATTGATACAACAGAGCAAAGAAAGAGGGGCTCATTGTGGTTTGCTGTGCCAGTGCAACTGGTATTTATAAATTTAAATTACTTGTGATTAGGAAAAGTCTTTTAGCCAAAGCTGTTAAAGGGGGTCTGTCTAATTACCCAAAGCTACACAAAGCTTCCTAACAAGCTACCCAAAGCTTCCTAGCATTACATTAGTAATTAATAAATAGGATATATTTATTCATTATAATGTTGGTGCTGAATGTAGAACATGTAAAATATAGTTTTACTCTGAAAAAGTATCATTTCAGAACGAAATTAGATGATATAAGTTGCTGGCGATGCCAAAGCAAGTCAACGGTCCAAACGACAATGTTGTGGACACATTGTTGTCTGGATGTTTCTTATCCAAGACACATTGTTGCCTGGAGAGTGTTTGCTGGTGTATCAGTCTCCTGTACCTACCTAACCTAACCAACCTACCCTAACATAACCTAACAAAACCTAACCTAACCTATCCAAACCTAACTAGTCATATTTACTAGAGGTTAAATATAACCTCTAGGCAACAATATATCTTGGATAAGCTGCTCCACAACATTGTCGCTTGGGTCGTCAACTTCCTAAAGCCTCTCATGACACTTAGTTTTGTCAAATTTCATTATAAACTTATATCATTTCAGAGTAAAAATATGTTTTTTCATGTTTTACCTTCAGCACCAACATTATAGTGAGTAAATATATCATATTTCTTCATTGCTTAAGTAATACTAGGAAACTTTGGATAGCTTTGAGTAGATTTGGGTAGCTTTGGGACTGACCGGTTAAGGGGTTTATAGGGCTTATCTTAGTGAATGGATGTTCAGAGTGATGTTTCAGAACTGATTTCAAGTTCATTTTTGTACCAGAGGGGATGACCACTTTAAAAGTCGGCTTGTCAGAGAACAAAATTGTGTAATTTCTTGATACATAACAGCCCATCATATTTATTTATTTATTTATTTATTTATTTATTTATTTATTTATATACAAGAAGGTACATTGGGATTGTGAGGATACATAGCATAGTAATTACAATCTTGTAAAGCCACTAGTACACACAGCGTTTCGGGCAGGTCCTTACTCTAAGAAGCTATAACCATATACATATCTATATGTATATGAGCTAGTGAGGGCAATATGTTTGCTGCATACTTGCTGCCCATCACAATTTCCTTTATCCAGCCCATAGACAAAGAAATAATTTCATACTGCAAATTCTACTTCATACATAAGTGTGCACTTCCATGCACAGAAGGGTAATATCAAAGAATTTGTGAAACTCTTCATTGTGTAGTCAGCTGTATGGATTTTGTACTTGCATGCAACATGGTGAAACAATCGACCTTGAAGCATGGCTTTAAAAAACTTTTACCTGCAGTTGGTCTCTTCATATAAATCCTTTATCTTTAGAACCCTATATTTTAATACTAATCGTAGGGGGGTAACTGAATGCACTAGCTTAGCATGGCTCCAAATAAATATAAAAGCACCTTTCTGAGCTGTGCCATTTGGTTGTTCTTAGTTCATTCTTATCTTTCTCCTGGTGCAGTTTGTTGTGTCTTAAAAAGAAATGGGAATAATAGGGCTTCTTTAGACTGATTACCTAAGTGTAGTTACTGGATGAGAGCTATGCTCATGGTATCCTATCATCCGTATAATCTTTGTCATATGAATCTCGAAACAACCGATGGTTTTGGCATCCACCATCTTCTGTCTTATGATGATGGTGTTGCAATCTGGTATCTGTCAAGGGTATTAGATATGCTAGCAGGTAATGGATTGTTAGGTAGAGGTCTCAGTTGATGGTTAAATGTGATCACACAAAGGAAGACACTTACATGGCTTTCAATTTTTATGGAATGAATCTCTATTGGTCATTCCAGGCTGACTGAGTTTCTCTAGTGACCCCTCACTAGTATCTTTAATGATCTAGATAAGGACCGTTTGAAAAGTTCTGTATGGGACCAGTGCCTAGAATGTATCCTACATCATTCATAATTTTTGTCCAGAGGATACAGCAGAAATTATTTTAGGGGGCAGCTGAATCGTACAGATCAGAAAGGTATTTTCCATATTCATTCAAAGCTGTAATTTTATTGTCTTCCAAATTAGGCATCTCCAAAACCTTTTATCTCTCCTTGTAGCTCATATTTCTTGCATGTCTTTACACTTATATACTTCTATAAGTGTAGGTACCAAACAACAGCTGTATATTCCAGTTTAGATCTAATGAATGTTGAAAATAATTTCTTTAACATTACTCTATCCATGCACTTTGAAGTTATCCTACATTCTCCCAAAATTGTATAGGCCATTCTCACTTTAGATTTATGTGGTTTTTGGTGATAGAGTATTGCTTGTAATTATCCCTATATCATATTCTTTAGCTGATTTCCTTTAGCATCTGTTACGTAATCTATAATTCTTGTGGGCCTATTCCCAGTCTCCCTCATTTCCATTACTTGACATTTGTCTACAATAAATTTCATCATCTGTTTATTGCTCCATTTGCTTACTTAATCCAAGTCTAATTGGAGGGTCTTAATGTCATTCCAGTTTCCTACTTTACACAGAGTTGTTGCATTGTCTGCAAACATATTCATGCAATTATTCACACCCTCTGACAAATAATTTATATAAATCAGAAACATAATTGGGGCTAGTACTGATCCCTGTGGGACCCCACTAGTGACTTAACTCCCATGCTCACAAATTCCCTCTTATCACTGTTCTCATTTTTCTTTCAGACAAGAAGTCTCCCATCCATTTCAGTAATGTACCCTCAATACCTCCTATATTTTTAAATTTCCAAATTAGTCTTTGTGAGGAACTCTATCGAAAGCTTTTTTTGAAATTCTAAATAAATGCAGTCTGCCCATCCATTTCTTTATGGAATAATTTTAGTAACTTTATCGTAGAAATTTAGCAGATTTGATATATGTACAAGATTTTATGTATGCACGTATGCATGTGTGTGTGTGCGTATACAAGTGTATGATTACCCATATAAAGTTTTACAGGCTAGAGCTCAGGTTTGCGATTTGTCAATGCATGCATGCGTGCACTCTTATCTCTGTATGTTTGTATATATATTGTAAAAATTTAAATAATTTTTTTCATATAACAGATCTGGAAGGTGGTAGATTTTTCTTTAATGCTGTAAGAGAGGGTGAGTCCATCTTGTATGCCACGGAAGATGAGAATGAGTCTCATCAGTGGGTCACAGCATTGTACCGAGCCACAGGTCAAGCTCACAAGCCAACTCCACCAGTAATGCCTCAAGGAAAAAATTCCACATTATCCAAAATACAGGGAGGTAAGAAAATGGGTATAGGGTTTATGTAACAAAAAAAAAGTTATTTAACATATTTACTGTACTTGTACTGTACTTGCCCAGATTCACCTTTCCACCGATTATTAGTTGCCTTTTAATCACTGTGCTGCTCGGCTATAAAATATGACAAACCCGTGGTATGCCGAAAATAAATTCTTTGCAAAAAATTATTTTCTCTTCTTATGTTGCTAAAATGCAGTCTCTGATCATAGGAAACTAAACAAAAATATTGTATGTGACATACTTTAGCCGTGATGGAGCTGAGAAGTTGAGCAAATTATGGGCGCCGAGTGATGGAGCGCTCGGGGATGCTCAACTCTGCCAACTCGTGGGGCGGCAGTTGTTGCAAATATCATTTTTCATAATTATTTCAGTATCTCATTCGTTTCTTCTCTTTTTTTGGTTGTAATATTATTCAAAAGTGTGTAATTTGTGGAATTTATATACACTACTGTAGTTCAATGTGTGGAACATTGCTGTGCTCAAAATTATGGGGCTCATATATTTGACATGTATACTATATTCTAAGATCAAGCAAACAGTGTTTTTGGTGTTATTACACTATACACAGGTTGTATACAGCTATCTCCATTTTTGTGAACCATGGTTTTATATTTAGTTTTTTGCAGTAATATTATTCAATAGTGTGTAATATATAGAGTATATAGTTAAATGTGTGGAATATTGCTATTCTAAAAAATATGGAGCTCATATATGATGACACATACAATATATTATATTCTTAGATCAACCAAATAGTGTTTGTTGTTATTATGCTATATACGCATGTTAAATATCACTATCAACATTTATATGCATCATAACATACTATTAAGCAGTTCTGGTGGGTATGGTGATGAAATCAAACCACAGCATGGAGCCACAAGCAGACAATGCCAGCAGTCACATGATGCAAAACAATGCCTCCAATATTCTACACATCTTGCTATGACTAGCTACAAAACTGCTGTTATTATCACATTCCTGTCACAAAATCATTAATATTAATCTGTTTCCATAAGAAAATGAACATTAGCCCCCAAGCTGCTCTGGGCTATTTGGCCTTCAACATCCACAGGTGCAAAAAAAAAAAAATTATTTTGTCTTATAAAAGTGTTCATTTGTGTTCCTTGATCACAGGAAAAAAATAATAAAAAACTGTAGGTGGCATATTTTGGCTGCAGTAGGGGGAGAAAGTCTGGCAAAAGAGAGGTGTTCACAGAGCAAGCGCCGGAGGCAGTCAGCGCTGCCCGAGCTGTCAGGTGGAAGTTGCCACAAAGACATTATTACCTAATTATTTCAGTGTCTATGATTAATTTTTCTAATTTTTTTTGCAGTAATATTATTCAGTAGAGTGTAGTGTGATATAATAAGTATCTACATTTGTGTTCACCATAGCGAACTACTAAGCTGGTAGATTAAGTGCAGACAGTAACGGTTAGTCACAGATTCGACATACGACGTTACCGCCCTTCTTCCTCACCATTACTCCTCCCACACCACAGCACAAATTATCACAACATTCCTGCTATTATCAGAATCCTGGTCATTTTTATCACAATCAGGGGTCTTCTGTAATACTATAATCACTAAATAATACCAGTTACATATATTTCTGGTGGGAACCCCCTCGGCTCCCCGAAGCTATCCTGGTTGATATGTAACTGTTAGCTTTCTGGCATCAGTCAAAGTGCATGAAGTTCTTGCCTACTGAGGACCACGAGCCTGAACCTGGCCCCCTCAGAGAGGCGCGAGGAGCAATGGCCTATAGAAACTCCCGTGTGGTTGGGAGCATTCTGTGTCTGCCATTGACCAAGTCTGGGACCCAGAAAGATAGGTGCCCCAAAACAAACCCCTATTCTGGTAAAAATATTGCTACAGAAAGCCGAACGAGAGGAGAGAACTCCCCAACGAAAATTAACAAATGAGCATGACATCATCATGTTGCCACGCCACTGTCTGCACAACCTCCCCTCCCCATGAGTGGGAAAGGGTAGCCCCAGACCCTCGCACCGGCGAACCAACCTGTAGTTGGCTAATGTAATACTGGCAGGTCGGGTGCCTCTGGCTCCAGTTTTTGTTTTCAGTTCCTGTGCCTTGTGGCTCGGTCTGTCTCTACAGGTGGTGTGTGAGCCAGGAGTAATATTCTATGGTACTCGGGCTGCATGCACCTAGGGTTTCCTTCCCTAGGTGCTCTGTAAGTACTTCCCTTTGGACTTGGGGCTATCTTCCACAAGTCACCTTGGGGGCTACCTCCGCTATGTCTTTTACTGATCGATACTTGGCCGCCCATGGAGTCAGCTGGGGTTTTTGTTGCACTTGTTTGCCATTGGGTAGGAAGTAGTTTTCGTCACTGGTAGGGGCGCAGGGTACTGCACAGCTAGTTTTCACCTATTGTAGTGGCCGGCTCTGTTCCACCTGGGTATGTTGTCCTCTTGCAGGGTTTTTCTTTTGTTTTTGTTTCCCTTCTTGGTGGGGGGGATCTGCCTTTGGTTGGTTGCCGTCTATTTATACTTAAGTCTTTCGCTAGACATCTCTGTGTTCTTGGTGGTACACCCCTGCTTGGCCCCCGTGAGTGGACACATCCTGGGGGTTCAGGTTTAAAAGTTTGCTCAGTAGTTTTGGGTGCAGTTTGCAGTACCATGCCTAGGCTTCCCTTAGTGTGACACCAAGGCTACGGGCCCCTGGGAAACCCCATGAGGGCTCCATGGTCCGATGGATGCGACCCTTGAGTCCCCTCTTGCTTCGTGCGAGGTTGATGGTTGCTCTGCCTCCTTGTCTCGGGGTGACAATCACCAGTTGTGCCTCCGCCACACTGCCAGTCGAGTCAGTTATTCTTTTGACCAGGAGTTGTGCGACGTTTGTTCCTTGTACGTGCTCCAGTTCACCCAAGCTACTGAACATGACATTAAGTTGCAGGCAACAGAGGCGTTGTATGCACAGTTTAGGTTGCTGCAATGCGATAGGTTCTTTGCTTTCCTAGATACCCCTAGGCTGCCCCATTTTGGTCATAGGGATCCGGACTTTGGGGTGGGAGTTGTTTCAACTTTGGTTCCGCCGTCCGCCCATTCTTGTCCTTTCCCTTCGGGGGTTCATTCAGTTCCCCCTCCCACTCCAGATGGCTCCAAAACATCTGAGGGGATTCGAAGGCGGAGCAGGATTTATTTGGTTGTTGAGACTTGGGCGGTCTCGGGAGTCCCCTTCCTGGGTTGCGGCGGAAGCATTCGAGCCTAGTCCTCCAGCCAGAACTTCTGGGTCTGACCAGTGGGTCCCCTCGTTCCTGCTTTTTTGGCTGCTCCTGCCTTTTCTTTAGAGGCGGGGGGTTTGGAGGACGGCTCGGTCCCAGTTCTTCAGGGTGAGGTTCCTGGGGTGGGGGTGGGGTTGACTTGTGGGCCTTGGGCCCCGTTGGACCCCTCCTGGGTCTTTGTACCCTCGGAGTGGGGCTTAGTGTTATAAGGAGAGGGGGTTCTCTTTCACAACCTCCTCGTACAAATTGGATTTGGTGTCTACTCCTCCCCGGGTTCAGTTCCGTGATCTCGTGGGTTCCTCGGTCCTGCCCTTCCAGAGATTTTTGGCTTCCCGCGTTTCATCTCATGTGGTTTGGGAGGTCCATGCTGCTTTACCTCCTGCTTGACCCGGATTATGCTTTCGTGATGGATTCGTGTTCCTTTGAGTGTGGATCCTCGTGTCCGTACTGGATTTGTTATGAAGTTCCGGAGTCGTCCTGGTTGGCAGACTGCTTGCACTTCTCGTTAGAGGCTTGGCACATGTTCTGTTGGTCCCATGTGCTTGAGTGGAAGGAGGCTCAGACGACGTTTCAGGTCTTCCTGGGGGGGGGGGGCAAATTTGAGCATCTCCATGCATGTTTGTTTGCCCCTGCCCTTCCGTGGGATGTTGGTGTGATGCAACTTCATGTGCAGGTTCCTTCCCTTTTGGCTGCCTTGGTCATGGAGGATTTGCATACACGTGGATTGCTGGCTTCGGCCCAGCATTTCTTCTCCCTCCTCGAGATGTCCTCAGATTGGCTTGAGTTGGATGTGGAAGAGCTTGGGGCCGCCTCTGGGTCTGGTGCGTTGCCCTCGGCGGTGTGTGTGTCATCTGCATTGTTGAAGCTGTTCACGCCGCTCTTGCAGGATGCAGTTTCACAGTTTTTTGCTTCTCGACTCGCGTGTTGGCAGGTGGTACGTGCTTCTTCCTTGGAATCCGCTTGGGCCCTGTCTCTTAGGTTGTCTTCTCCTTATTGTCCACAGCTGTTTGCAGAGTCTGCGGTTTTGCAGTATCTGCAGGCGGCTTCGGCTAGTTGCCGTCCTGTTCAATTTGTTCTACGGGGGCTTGTAGGGAGGGCCTTCCCGGAAAGGTCGTGCCAGGGCTCGAGGTTCTTCTCGTCGTGGTAGGCCAGTGGTGCCAGATTCAGGGCAGGTATAGCCTTCGGTTCTGTCAGTTTCTGGTCAGTAGGGGGGATCCCCATGTGTGCCGCTTAGGTTCTCATAAGGTGCGTTGGCCCTTTCGCGGTTCGTCCCATTGACAGGGCAATGGGGGAGAGGCTTGCTCTGTTCCCTCATGAGTGGTCCCACAATTTGTGGGCCTTTTGGGTCACTTCGTGCAACCTGAGGTGGTATTGGGTAGCTCAAATTCAAATTCAAAATTCAAATTCAAATGTTTATTTAGGTAAAGTACAATTTAGTTTAATTTAGTTTATTTAGGTAAAGTTTAGGCTCCTTCTCCTTCGGGGAGTTAGGGGCTGGCGGTGGGCTTATTCTCCTGCGCTCTGTCGAGTCATTTCGGAATGGGTTCACTTGAGCGTGGTCGAAACGACCTCGTCTCTCGGGTGGGTTTCTGGTCCTGAAACGGGACTGCACGGACCTCCGGTTCATTCTGGACTTCAGTTTGGAGACGTGACAGGAAAACTAGGAAGGGAGGATGAGTGGCTATGCTGGTGAAAAAACACATGAAGGTAAGAGAGTTAATATTTGAAAACCCTCGAGATATTGACATAATGGCATTGCAGGTCTGGGATCAGGATGATAAGTTGATAATTTTAAATGCCTACAGCCCACCACCAAGCAACACATGGACAAAGGAAGAACTGGATGACAAACGAGAGGGCCTCATAATGGTCATGAGAGATATTATTGTACAAGCAGATAAAGATAAATCACGACTGTTGATACTGGGGGGCTTCAACTTTAAAGTAATAGACTGGGAGGCCTATGAAGCAAGAACGGAGGACTTTTGGACATGCAGATTTGTGAACCTCATTCTGGAGACATCCTTGTATCAACACATCAAGCAGGCCACAAGAATGAGGGAAGGAGATGTACCGTCAGTACTGGATCTAGTATTCACCAGGAAAGAAGAAGAGATATTTGACATCTAGTACCTTCCTCCCTTAGGAAAGAGTGATCACATCCTGTTAGACATTAAATATGCACCTCCACCCACATCGACTGATGCAAAAAGTAAGGGTATCCATATCAGCCATGGATAGCTCCGGGAAACCGTAGGGGCTTCCCCCAGAAAATGTTTTAACCACTGTAATGTGCCGTGTTTATTGGGACATTTCCCCTGTGTGCCGAAAATCAAGTGTTTACCAAAATTATTTTATCTCTGCAAAATGATAAATTCCCTTCCCTGAACACATACACAAAAAAAAAAACTAAAAAATTCCACATACTTTGACTGTGGGGATATGGAGAAGGGGGACTTGTGATGTTATCATTGGCTGTGTGCCAGTGCATGAAGCTCCCAGAGGTGGTCGTGAGGGCCATTCAAACACCGCGAGTTACCACAAATATATTCTCAATTGAACAAATCTTGCTATTGTGATTTAAATGTGTATATTTTCAATTATTTGTACTATGTATTTCCAATGCATTTTTATTTTTATTTTTGTTATTGTATGTGATGTATATATGTGTCCTTCACAAGATGTATTCATTAGAATGTTCATAATGTTCCATGGAACTGTGATACATGAGTCAGCCAGTGGCTTAGGACCTAAGCAGGAATATCCCTGCAAAAAGTAAAAATATAAATAAAAAAGTGTGTCTACAATAAATGTTTTTTTATTGCAATATTATTTATTCAAAATTCACTAAAACTACAATATGTACAGTTTCACACACTATTTACATAGTAACACACTGATTTATACTCAGTACTTTGGAAGCGAGTGATAATCAACGAATCAGTCCATGGTACATGGCACAACTTTGCTCTTGATGCACCAGGTACAAACAGATTTTCACTTTCTGGTTCTTCGTTCTATGTGCTTGCAAATAACACACTCATGTACACCCTTGGCTTTATTACCTATAGGTGGTATGTAGCCAAGCTTGTGAAGTGTAAGGTAGTCTTGAAAAGGTCATTTTGTACGGTATTCGTCTTCTTCTTCGCAATATGTGCTGTTTGCATGAAGGTATATCCTTCTGATGACTGCACAAGTGGAAATGTAGAAAGATGCGTAGATGACAATGCACAACAATACATCAACGGTCACGACATGCGCGAGTCAAGAAAATAACAACGCCATCAATGCAGGCGAGGATAATTGCAAAATAAACAAGAGGAAAGGAACGTAGGATGGGAATAAAGAAAATAGAAAGCGAACCCAAAGCATCGCTGCAGTAAAGAAAGCGAGGGACAGAGGAAAGAAACGAAGGGGAAGGACACATCCTTGCAAAGGATGTAATTAAGTAGATTTAGATTTAGATTTAGATTTTTTATTCAGGTAAAGGTACATCCATTGAGTTACATACATAATGATGGATTTAAAGATAGAGATAGTACATACAATACCTAAAGCCACTAGTACGCATAGCGTTTCGGGCAAAAGGTGACATGTGGAGTACGAATGTAACAGTACGAATGTGGAGAATGGTAGAAGAAGTCAAGACGGGACAGGTGAGGTTAGGACAGGGCAAGGTACGTAGAAGGCATCCGGAGTCTCACGACTGGGACGCTAACATCGGACTCCGCAGAAGCGCCAGCAGGACAATGGGAGGAAGACCTAGGAAGGGTACGAGGACAAGTCGTGGGAGAATGCGATGTAAGAGGCCCATCAGGCAAGGTGGCAGGGCGCTTTGAAATTGGGATGACGGAGGATTGCTTCCGCTTAGTACTGCGGGCAGAGATATACGGCAAGGCAGCCTGAGGAGAGACACAGGGAAGGCACGCTAAAGAGTTCCGAAGGGCGTTGTTCAGCATTGATTCAAGAGCATTGGAGATTGCAGAGGCAGCTGCGGGAGGATGGACGTCACCCATAGAAGAAGCGGAGAGGAGTGACGGGTCAGCCTCAGGAATGGGAAGGATGGACTGTGGAAAGAATTTAGTGATGTGGCGGACCAGCACCGTTTCAAGTGCATCCACAAAGAGAGCGAATAGCATCAACAAGATCTGGATTCAGTTGAATGGTGGGTGGGAGAGAAGAAGCCTCAGGGGTGAGATGAACGTCAGTGAGAAACAGGTCAGGCACAGGCAAAGGCGGCAGCGGAGGGGGAAGCGGCGGGTGACAAGGAACTGGGGCAGGATGAGGCAAAGTACGACAGGAGGGCGGAATGACGATGGGAAGAGCCCTTAGTGAGTGCCGCAACATAGGAAGGACACTGCATGAAAGTGATGGCATGATCACCACCACAGTTGGGACAACAGAGCGCTCCGTAGGCCAGGAGAACCCGTCTGACCAGGAGGAAGTGGAGGGCATGGAGACAGAGGTAGCAAGGGGGTCACAGGGCATCACAGGATGCAGGCAACGTTTTGCCTCCAATCTATTAGCCTTACTATGATGTTTACTGTCCAGTAAAACACCCTTGAGATCTCCATCCAAGACGGGGAGAACGTCGTGACCGGAATGTGTGCCAAGGGACAACGGGTCTTGAAAAACCTCAAAGGGATTGGATATGTCCATGGGAGAAACGCTGCATGAACCACCATCCGTCGCCATGGTCGACCGGCAAGCTAAGGTATGCTTGAAGAGATTCAGCCATTCTGGAAGAGATTCATCCATTCTGGAAGAGATTCAGCCATTCTGGAAGAGATTCAGCCATTCTGGAAGAGATTCAGTCATTCTGGAAGAGATTCAGCCATTCTTGAAAAGATCTATGGAAAACACTACCACCATGGAAGCTGCTAACACTGTTCATCTATGCTACTTGTATCAGATGCATCATCACTGAACCCAGAAAACAATTCATCTATATATCAACTATAAACAGTGGGGATAACACATTGAGCATAGCTACAACTTGGATACGCTTGCTGTATCTTCCTCATCGGTGCTGTATCACTTGCATCCGAGCCTTGTGTTAGAGCCTTATTGTTCCTAGCTTCATCAATATCATGACCCTTATGTTCTTCAAACAATAAGGTCTGAATTTCACCAATGGAGAGAGATCTTTCAACACCGCGTCTGATAGGGGATTGGGAGCCAGAAGCACGTGCGCCTCCCTTGGTTGCTCATTCAGAACTGATCCTGCCAGCAGCCTTGGAGAAATCAATGAATTTTTTTCAAGATGGCTGCCTCTTCTGGGGGTCTCAGGAGTCCATTTCATACCCAACCAATTGCGCTCGCTTTTGGAATGGGTATGAAAAAATACAGTGTTTTCTTGGTTGGCACAGTAATGGGCAAATGAGATTTCTTGGCTGGTGCAGCACAGTGGTTATGAAGGGCATGATGATACAGCTTCCATTAGTGGGCACTTGAATGAAATTTGAATAAAATTTTTGACCATATAACATCACAGTACCCAAAGTCTCTCCACACTGTGAAGCGCATTCTAAAAATCTTGTGCATTCTCATTGTTTAAAACTGTATATGAACACTTGTAGCTATTTTTACTTTTTTTAATCCTCTTCTCAAAGAATTTAGCATTTGAAAAAATATTCAAACATCTCTCTTCTTCTCCTCATGATATGATACTTCCTATGTGTGTGACAGACATCTGAACATGAAAGTGTAAATATGTGGTATCTCTTGAATATTTGCTGATTAATCTTGTTGATGACTAAGCATTTTTCACTAAGGATTTATACATTATTTATACATTACATTAAACAGTGATAAAATTGAGCCATATTATGAATATTTAGAAGAAATCACACCAATGGTGAGGACTCTATTTTATGTATGTGTTTTATACTTTTAGATGCAGATAAAGCAAAGAAGCATGGAATGGATGAATATATAAGTGCCGATCCTGTTAGATTTGATCATCACAATTTGTACAGAGTTCTACAAACTCAAACACTTGAATACCGTCTTATTGACCCATATTGTTCTCTGGTAAGTTGATGCATTTATACTTCACATTACATTAAGTTCAATGTGTTTACCACTTAATAGCTCAAAGATATGAACTGTTTTCCATTAGTATTTGAAATAAACTTTGAATTCTAGTCTGACTAAAGATACTGATTTACCTGATTTACCCGAGGCCCACTAACCCTAGTGGTCTCAAGGAGGATAGGATGCTGACGGCGTGTCGAAGGTTCCCCCCCCCCATTTGTCTTGATCTTTTCCAGGTATATTTTGAAATTCAGCACAGTTTGGGCAGTTACAGCTTCAATTAGGTAGGCAGTTCCATGGGTTAATTAATATCCCTGCTGGTGAAAAACCATCTGTTCTCAGTCCTACATTGTGGCTTGTTGTGCTTTAAAACCGTTGCTCCTTGTTTGTGTTACATTTGACCTGAAGAAAATATCTGGATCAACATCCTCTAACTTGTTCAGTATTTTAAAAGTTTCAATGAGATCCGCCCTGTCATGCCTATCTTGCATTGTTGTTAGCCCTGTGACCTTCAAGTGTTCCTGATAGGATATTATCTGATGCACATATTTTTTAATGAGTTCTGTAATGACCCTCTTGAAATTTTGCCATGCTGCTTCTGTGCCAAGTTCGCCCATCAGCTCCCTCCAAGAGACGGTTTGCAGTTCCTTTCTTAATCCTTGATAGTCACCTCGCTGGTAATCTAGAAATTCATCACCTTTGACCTTTATGTGGGTTTCTATATTCATAGTCTATCTTAAAATATGGTGGTCGCATGAGGGGGTTAACTTTTTCTCCACATGAATTTGATCAATTAAACCCTATTCTGTAGTCAACACAAGATCTAGTACTGTATATTATTACCATGTGTCGTCTCTATCAAATTCTGTGGTATATTGTGGTATACTATACTGTGATATAGTCTCTGTCAATACCTTTGGAACTAAAGTCACCCACACCCACTCCCGATACCCGCCCCCACTCCTGACACCCACCCCCACTCCTGACACCCACATCCACTCATGAAACCCACACCCACTCCTTGCACCCACATCCACTTCCAACACCCACAATCACTTTCGATGCCCATACTCACTACTAACACCTACATTCACTCCCTGCACCCAGTCCCAACACCCACATTTGCTCCCACTCCCCACACTCACATCCACTTCTAATACCCACTACTGACATTCACACCTAGTCCCTGCACCCACAAGCACTACTGATACTCACACCCACTACTAACACTCACACCTGCCCCAACACCCACTCCCAAGACCCACACCTACTCTCTGCATTCATGCCCACTTAACACATCCATGCCCGCTTCCCACGTCCACTTCTCACACCCTCTTCCCACGTCCATGCCTAGTTCAGACACTCACACCCATTCTCCACACCCACTTCCCAGACCCATTCCCCACACACCCACTCCCCAAACCCATTCCCCACACACCCACTCCTTACACCATTCCTCACACACCCACTCCCCTCACCCATTCCTCACACACCCACTCCTCACACTCACATCCACTCCTGACATTCCATACCCATTCCTGACACTCATATCCACTCCTGACACCCACAACCACTCCCAACACCCCACAACTGACACTCACACCTGACACTCACACCTGATACTCACACCCACACCCAATTCCCACACCTACTCCCAACACTCACACCCACTCCCCATACCCACTCCCTACACCCACTTCCCACACCTACTTCCCACACCCATTTCTCACATCCACTCCCAACACCCACATTTACCCCCCACACCCACATTTACTCCCCACACCCACATCCACTCATGACACCCATACTCATTCCTGATATCCACATCCACTCCTGACACCCACACTCACTCTCAACATCTACACCCACTCCTAAAACCCCACACCCAAACCAAACACCCACACCCACTCCAGACAGCTACATCTACTCCCAACATCTACACCCTTCACGCCCTTCAAGATGACCTGGACAAAATAAGTATATGGAGCACCACTTGGCAAATGGAATTTAATGTTAATAAATGCCATGTTATGGAATGTGGAATAGGAGAACACAGACCCCACACAACCTATATATTATGTGAGAAATCTTTAAAGAATTCTGATAAAGAAAGAGATCTAGGGGTGGTTCTAGATAGAAAACTATCACCTGAGGACCACATAAAGAATATTGTGCGAGGAACCTATGCCACGCTTTCTAACTTCAGAATTGCTTTTAAATACATGGATAGCGATATACTAAAGAAATTGTTCACAACTTTTGTTAGGCCAAAGCTAGAATATGTAGCGGTTGTGTGGTGCCCATATCTTAAGAAGCACATCAACAAACTGGAAAAGGTGCAAAGACATGCTACTAAGTGGCTCCCAGAACTGAAGGGCAAGAGCTACGAGGAGAGGTTAGAGGCATTAAATATGCCAAAACTAGAAGACAGAAGAAAAAGAGGTGATATGATCACTTCATACAAAATAGTAACAGGAATTGATAAAATCGATAGGGAAGATTTCCTGAGACCTGGAACTTTAAGAACAAGAGGTCATAGATATAAACTAGCTAAACACAGATGCCTAAGAAATATAAGAAAATTCACTTTCACAAACAGAGTGGTAGACGGTTGGAACAAGTTAGGTGAGAAGGTGGTGGAGGCCAAGACTGTCAGTAGTTTCAAAGCGTTATATGACAAAGAGTGCTGGGAAGACGGGACACTACGAGCGTAGCTCTCATCCTGTAACTACACTTAGGTAATTACTTAGGTAATTACACATCCCTAATACGCACACCCACTACCAAATTCTATCATTTAACAATAAATGATAGAATTTGGTTTTAAGTATGTCCAATGGCTCTCCCAATGCCCAACTCTTTCTTCTAGTGTTGGATTCAGCCACAAAATATTAAAAATGTGAGAGGAGCCATATTCATATGTTCCATGCACTCTGGGCTGATTTCACTAAGATAAATTTTAATTTAAACCTGCCCAGTGATGGACAACTTTCTCACTAGTCTGTGAACTGTGACCCAACATTCAAAGCAAATCTGCACATATTTATCTTTGCCAAACTCTTGTTCGTCGAATTAGGTGAGTAAATCTGGCCTGAAAGGTGTGCATTACAACCAGAGATTTGCCAAACTAGAGTTCCTTGAATTGAGGCTCCATTGTATATACTGTATATATTTATCTAAGAAATATTTAAAACATATGAGTCTTAACAGAAGCCTTTCTGATTAGTAATTTCTCACTTTTTGTTTGTATACTTAAATTAACAAAATGGTTAAGATGATAATGTGACAGTGCTAGGAAAAAGAGAAATTTAATTAAAGATATTGAGATGGGAAAGATGAGAGAGAGAACACAGTTTTCCAATGAAAAAGTGAGATATCAGGGAGACTGTTTATGACAATTTAAATGGATTTAAATGGATAATACTTCCTCAGAGATTGACATCGACCACTTGGTCAAATTTTGGAAAAGACACTTTGAGAAATGGTGGTATTAGTTAAATATTTGTATCCATTCCTTATACCTTCATAAAACTTTTGCTTTAAATTATTATTGGTTTAAAGTGTTTCATGTTTGATGATTCCTATCTTTGCCCATAGGGATGGTTCAGTCCTGGTCAGATTTTTGTATTAGATGAGTACCAGGCTCGGTATGGTGTTCGGGGCTGTTATAGACATCTCTGCTATTTAGAAGACCTTCTAGATCGAGCAGAGAAAGGCCAGATGATAGACCCAACTCTCATTCACTACTCATTTGCCTTCTGTGCCTCCCACGTTCATGGAAACAGGCAAGTTATCAGTTTGGGTAATATACTATATTCCGTGTTAATAGAGGACAGTTATATAATAGGAAACTTTAATATTCTTTGTTGGTATTATTGTATATTTTGAAATATGATACGGGAGATGAAAAAACCCAGCGTTGAATGTAATGAAACGCCATTTTCTGGGTGAGACCCGGAGGCTCCCCAGAGCTTTACCAGGCTGATATGCTAATGTCAGACTTTAGTATCAGTCATGTGTATGGAGGTCTAGGGCCTACCGGGGACCACGGCCAGAACCTGGCTCCCTCAGAGAGGCAAGCCTATAGAAACCCCCCGTATGGTTGGAAGCATTCTATGTCTGCCATCGACCGGGTCAACCATCCAGAAAGGTAAGCATTGCAAAACAAACTCCTATTCTGGTTAAAATTGCTACCAAAAGCCGAACTAGTGGATAGAACGCCCCAACAGAAAACAAGCAAACTACTATGACGTCACACGTCACCGCGCCGCTGTCTGCGCAGCTCCCCCCTCCCCGGGAGGGGGAAGGGGAAGCCCCAGACCTCTCACACTGGCTATCCACCCATCAGTTCTGAGGCTGGATGTCAAAACACGCGAAAAACCACCGACTGGTGGGAGGGAGGGTAGCCGGGGAGCCTCCGGGTCTCACCCAGAAAATGGCATTTCATTACATTCAACGCTGGTTTTCTGGGAGGAGCCCCATTGGCTCCCTGGAGCTAACAACCCACAGAGGAAGGTCAAAGAGATGGAACCGGGAGGCGGACACCACGCACCCCTCAACGGATGCGAGACAACCGGCAGCAAACGCTAACCCAAGGCAACACAGCCCCAAAAGGGACCAGGAACAACACGAGACAATGAGCAGCAAGGCCCTTGTTCGAACACCAAAAGATTCGTGCCCAAATGACAGCAAAGACACGCCACCCAGATGGCAGCAAGAGCAGCGAAGCCACGAACGTCATGGGCATGGGGAAAGAACACAGGCTGACAACCCGGGACACCATCACCCGCGAACAGGGAAGAACAGAACCAGATCAACTCAAAGCGTGCCCCAGACATAGAGGCCACGGCACGCAAATAACACCAGAGGGCCGCCACTGAATACAAAACACGACACCCACCCAGGCCCAACCTACTAAGCACCAACAAACCAAGGACCCCTCCGAAATGCAGCAGCTCCATCCCGTGCCAGAAAAGATGGAGACTGCTGCCACCGAACAACCAAAACACCAAAACCGAAGGAGCAGAAAACCCCTGCGGAGGAGAACAAGAAGCCCAGCGACCCGACCCCCAGAGGCAAATGCCAACAGGAAAAAGAGCCGACAAAAAACAAACAGGAACCAAAGGGGCACCACCAACCGAGGAGAAGAGAGAGCATGCTGACCAGAGACCAGGACGGTGCAAGCGGCGCACGAACAGGCCGGAGGTGAAACAACGCACAAGACAGTGTATTAACAGTGCAGAAGCAACACCAAGACCGAAAGCAAGCCGAAGCGGCTCCGCCAGCGCCGCACGAAACGAGGCGACAGTATGTGGCAAGACGACGGCCCCCAACCCCCACCAGAAAAACCAAGCTGACACTAACAACTGCAGCCACCTAAGAAGGGACAGGAGAAAAAGGAAGGACCACCAAAATACCCCATACTGCCGCCAAGAAGAAGCATGCAGGTGGGACACCAATAATGAAGCCACCAGACCACCAACCGGAGGGGAGACACGCGAGGTAGAACATAATCAGCCCCAACAAGGCTCATCCGAGCCCAGGAAAAGGCGGAGCCGCGGGAAGATCTCGGGCGTGACCACCAAAGCCCTGGCCGGCACAAAGGAGATGGAACGTCTGCCGAACAGAAAGCCTCCCAATGCGAGCAAGCCCGCCAGGAGATCAGAAACGACGGGTCGAACACGAGACATCGCAAGACCATGAAAAACCAACAGGCAGAGCTAGCCAGAAAAACCAAAGAAGGCGTAAGGGTTGCCACCAGAACAGTACCCGAACCAAGGGATATGAGCAACGAAAACAGACCAAGACACATAAGCGCATCATATGACACAGGCTGAAGGAACGCCCAAGAAGCCAAGGAACATACGAAGAAAACCCCTGCGGCAGAGGAGGAAACAAAGGGAACGCACAAGGAAGGGAAGCGGCGGAAACCAACCCCCCCCCAATACAGCAGCAAGTGCAGGCAAAACCGAGCAAAGGAGATGCCAGGGAAGCAACAGGTGAGAGGCAGGACGAAAGAGCCAAAGCTCAAACCCTAGGAAACACAACCAGGGGTGGACAATCAGGCGTGGACAGAACTCCACGCACATGGAAGGGCCAAGCCAGGGACCTGAAGACTACGAAAATAACACAAGCAAACCCCCATACGCAAACCCCAGGCACAAAACAGCAGCAAAGTGCCACACTACAACCTGACACAGGAACAAGGACACGCCACCGCGAAACACGTTACCAATGCACACGTGCCACATGTATGTAGCAACATGCCTCTGCAAAGGCAGAGAACGGTGCAGGCAGACTCCAGGTCGACCCCAGACAGGGCCACCGAAGATGACAGAAACCCAGCAGGCCCAGGAACTTGCACACGAGGTGACTGACGGCAGAGATACCTGCTCGAAACCTGCTTGATGGGGTTCTGGGAGTTCATTTACTCCCCAAGCCTGGCCCGAGGCTAGGCTTGACTTGCGAGAGGTTGGTCCACTAGGCTGTTGCTTGGAGCGGCCCGCAGGCCCACATACCCACCACAGCCAGGATGGTCCGGAACCTCTATTAGAAAACAGGCTAGTGTTCTCATGAAGAAGTCCATGGATGTACCAACAACATGGCGTATGCTCGCAGATAGGACATTTAACAACCGCAGACCTCTGATGTTTATACAGTGTTCCCCGATTGTGCCTATGGCACCACTGCTCTCCACTGGTACTATTCTGCATGTTCTACCATATAGGCGGGACCAAAGAGCCAGAGCTCAAACCCCGCAAGCACAACCAGGTGAGCCCTACCAGGTGAGTACATAACCAGCACCACAACCCACACACCTCATAACATGAAAGAGGTGGGTCCCCTGAATGACTCTAGCATGGGTTGGACATGCCTATGAGTGGGACTGGAAGGGTTGAAAAGGGACAGTCACCGGTGTGCCAATGGTCTCATTCGTACATAAATATACCTAAATAAAGACAAGTATATAAACATCTCCGCATCCAGCGCCTGGCCGAAAGATGCCAGACCGCAGAAACTCACCTGTCAAACGGAGGCACGAACGTGACACAACCCAACAGTGCCAAGAAGATCCTGGGAGCACCGTCAGGTGAAGAAGCCAGAGCCGGACACGCAGGAGAGCAGAGTAGAGGCAAAGGAGGAGGCCCACACCCATGACACAGGGAAAACCTCGGCGTCCTCCCCACAGCTGTAATCCAGGACACCCCCGGAGTGACGGGACACATACCGGAGAAGGGAGAAGAGGGAGAGGCGAAGCACCCGAGAAAAAAGGGCGCAAAACACAAGCACTGAAACACACCGCCCAGATAAAAACAAACTCCCATTGCGCATGTGCAGGACACACTGGCCGAACCACACAACCCGCTCTGCAGGAAGGCGCCAACCAGGACTACTGCACAAGAAAATTAGCCAAACAAAACACAACCCTAGGGAACCACTAATTAGAAAAAACAACCCATCACAAGGGACAGGAGCCAAAAGAGGAAGCAGCAACAAAATAATCGGCCAACAAAGTGAAGACAAGGAGCCCAATGGGAACCCAACCGGGCCACGAGTAGCCCAAAAATGGCAACCGGACTAGGAGCCGACAGACGTTCCAATAACACGGGAAGTAGTGAAAACCTTTCCGAACCCTCGAACACAAAAGCAAACACCAGTCCTGAAGGCACACAAAGGCACAGTTGCACCCGAGACCAAAAGTCACGTAGAACCCCAAGAACGAGGAAACATGACGAAGACACCCCGTCCCCAAAAAAAGGGGGAGAGCAACAGAGATGAGCACCCACCTACAGGACGGAACCAACCGACTCAAAGGACAAGGAACCGAGTCTGGGGACACAGGGGGGCAAGAACGAAGGCAGATCCCCCCACCAGGTAGATAAATAAAAAGAAAACCCCGCAAGAGGACAGTGTACCCAAGCGGAACAGAGCCGGCCGCCATGATTGGTGAAAACAAGCTGCACAGTACCCTGCGCCTCACCAGTGCAAAACTGCCCCATACCCTAAGGCAAACAAGGGAGACAGAACACCCGAACACACAAAGAGCAGCCGAAAACCAAGCAGTAAACGGCCTAACAGGGACAGAACCCAAGGAACTTGTGGAAGGTGGCCCCAAGCCCCAAGTGCAATACTTACAGGGCACCTAGGGAAGAGAACCCTAGGCGCATGCAGCCCGAGTACTGGAGACTCACTCCTGGCACACGCACCACCTAGAAGACAGACACCACACTCTAGGTACAGTGCCAAAACAACTAATGGAGCCGGAGCACACATTCGGTGCCTATAGCATCAGCCGAAGAACTGATGGGTGGATAGCCGGCGTGAGAAGTCTGGGGTTCCCCCTTCCCCCTCCCGGGGAGGAGGGAGCTGCGCAGACAGCGGAGCGGTGACGTGTGACGTCATACTAGTTTGCTTGTTTTCTGTTGTGGAGTTCTATCCACTAGTTTGGCTTTTGGTAGCAATTTTAACCAGAATAGGGGATTAATTTTGGAATGCTTACCTTTCTGGATGCTTGACCCGGTCGATGGCAGACATAGAATGCCTCCAACCACACGGGGGTTTCTATAGGCCATTGCTCCCCTTGCCTCTCTGAGGGGGCCAGGTTCTGGCCGTGGTTCCCGGTAGGCCCTAGAACTCCATACACATGACTGATGCCAAAGTCTGACATTAGCATATCAGCCTGGTAAAGCTCCAGGGAGCCGACGGGGCTCCCCCCAGAAAATCATTATATAATTATAAATTAGTACGCAAATTATAAGAACAATTGATAATAAGTGAATATTTA